TCTTCAAGACATAGTTTCTCTGTAGCCCTGACTGTCTTAGAACTCTGTAGATCAGGCTGGCCTCTCTCAGAGATCCCTCCTACCTCTGCCTCCGAAGTGCTGGAATTAAAGGCATGAGCCACCACACCTGGACTGATTGCTGTTGCTATTTAAAAAAAGAAAAAGAAAAAGCTGTGTCTGTGCCTGGCTCAGAGCCTGATATTGGTGTCTGCTTGGCTCTTGTGATGTCACAAGGGCAGGCACCTGCACAAGTGTTCACATGTCAGGCATGAGGCATGTTCATTTTATCATTTACTTTTGTGAGAATCCAGCCCAGGTCCTCTCAGGCCTAAATAAACTCCTTCCAACAGTGCCACCTCCAGTCACCTAGCCGCCTCCTGCTGAAGGTGCCATCACCCCTCAGCATTGCTATTCTGGGGATCAAGCTCCCACTACGTGGGCTTTTGTGATACATGCTCAAGCCCGATCTAAATGAGGCATGTTCAAGCTAGTGTCAGTGGGAGCTGAGGAGCTGCAACGTTCCTTCTCTGACCTGTGCCAGAGGCTTGTGGACATGGCTACTGCCCCTCCCTGTGTCTGTAGTTATCCAACCATCCTCACACGGCTAAAAGTGGCTGGCAAGATTCAGGATCACCAGTTATATCTTCTATAATAGGAAACTGAGACCCAGAGAGGTGGGAGATTTGGGCAGGGGCCTGGAAGGACTTGATTGTGGATTTGTAGGGTGCAAGCCTGTACTTCCCTTGGGTCTGCTGCTTTGTCTGGGGGCTAATTTACCAAGAGTTCCATCTGTTTCTCTGGGCAGATGCTGACCTTCATCATGCTGGCCCGGCTGGCCACCCTTTGTCCTGTGCCTGTCCTGCAGAGGGTGGACAGGCTCATCGAGCCACTCAAAGCCACTTGTACTGCCAAGGTATGCCCTGCCCTGCCCTGGCTTGCCCTTCCCTCCCTGCCTGGGCCCTGGAGTGCCTGGCAGATCTAGGCACTACTCACTATACTATGTGCACTGCAGTGGTGGGCTAGCTGCTTCCATCATCCCTGTTGCCCTAGAATGTTCACCTGTTGCCTGGGGCTATACAGCTTCACAGGCTGAGAGATCCCTTCATTAAATGCCTCCTGGGTGATGGGCTATGAGAGGGACCCAGGGTACAATGCTCCACATGCTGGGTTCCCCTGACTCTGTCTATGCAGATCCCAGCTGGGGAGCTGGGCCTGATTCCTGTGAATGCTTGGTTGATGATTGATTGATGGATGGACTGCTCCAGGGCAGAGCCACTGGTCACAGGGAGTGTTTCAAGGTCTTGAAGGGAATCTGGGGTGAAAGTGTCATGGAAAGTTGTAATGTTGGGAACAGTCTGGCATGCTCAGGGTCCCAATGACGTGTGTGTGTGTGATATTTATGTGTGTTGTGTGTCTGGAGGCCAGAGGTTGAACAGTTGTTTTCCATGATCTCATAATATTTTTTTTCATACTGTTTCACTTTGTATCCCTGGCTGTTCTGGAACTATGCCAACTAGCCTAGCCTAGAACTCAGATCCACCTTCCTCTGCCTCCCACATGCTGGGATTAAAGATGTGTGCCACCACAGCCAGTATTTTGTTTTTGTTTTTTGAAACAGGGTCTCTGTCTGAACTGGGTTCATTGGTTCAGTTTGGCTGGGTGACCATGAGCTATAGGAATCTGCTTTTGTCTGCACTCCATGCCCAGCTCTTATGTGGGATCTGAACTCACGTCCTCGAGCTTGTATAGCAAAGACTTTGACAACTGAGCCATCTCCCTAGTCCTCCACCCCACCTCCCATTTGAGTTTTGAATGGATAAGATTTGGCCAGAAAGAGGGCCAAGAATTTCAGTCTTAAGGAGAAACTGAGAATAGTGGTTTTGTTTTTCTTAAAAATAACTATGATTCTCAGGTAAATCTCAAAGTGATTCCTTCCTCCCCTCTTGCCTTCCATATTGCTGGGACCACAACAGTCCTGTGTCACCAGGCTCAAGTTATTTTCTTTTCTTTTGTGTGTGTGTGGGGGGGGGGTGGGGGAGAGAGAGACAAGACACGGATACTTCTGTAGCCCAGGCTGGCTTTGAACTCAACATAGCCAAAGTTGACTTGAATTTCTGATCCTCCTGCCCCTGCCCCCAGGTCTTTAGATTACCAGCTATGTATGACTGCACCAGATTTTACATGGTGCTGGGTCAGGTTCCCCCCTACCCCCTACTTTTTTTCTTTTCCTTTTCTTTCTTTCTTTCTTTCTTTCTTTCTTTTTTTTTTTTTTTTTTTTTTTTTTTTTTTTTTTTGGGAAAAGGTTTTTCTGTAGCTTTGAAGCCTGTCCTGGAACTTGCTCTTTTTACCTGGCTGAGCCTCAAATTCACAGAGATCCACCTGCCTCTGCCTCTGCCTCCCGAGTGCTGGGATTAAAGGCGTGCGCCACCACTGCCCTGCTGGTAGGTTCCCTTTTCCCTGGGCTTTGTATATGCCAGGTGAAACCCTCATACCCAGCCCCAAAGTTGTGATTCTTTTCAACACACTAGCAGCAAATGATGAAATCTGCTGTTAATCGATTGAAATTAGGCCGTCATGAATCTGAAACCTGTATGTTTAAAATGGGTAACGTGGGCTCAGTGAGGGCGCTGTCTCCCTCTGCAGGTCAAGGCTGGTTCTGTGAAGCAGGAGCTGGAGAAGCAGGATGAGTTGAAGCGCTCAGCAATGCGGGCAGTGGCTGCCCTGCTCACCAATCCTGAGGTGCGGAAGAGCCCCAGTGTGGCTGACTTCTCTGCTCAGATCCGATCCAACCCAGAACTCACAGCCCTCTTTGAGAGCATCCAAAAAGACTCGGCCTCTGGTCCCAACATGGATTCTATGGAACTCAGCTAGCTGACCCCAACACAAGCCTCCCCTCCCACCCCCATGGGCCTTGGCCACCCCTGTCCTTCCCAGTCAGCCTCAGTGCCTTCTTAGGGCCCCTACTCACAGGCCCTCAACCTCAGTGCCAGAGCTGGGCCCTTTTAACTCAGGGCATTCACAGCTGGGGTAATGTTCTACCACCTTTACACTGCAGCCCTCCACTTGATTAGAAGCCAGCATTGGACTGTAGGGTTGACTTCCAAACGTCAGAAATTAGCTCCCTGGCCAAGGGGAGAGCTGTGTAGAGCCTAGATAAACTCTGGGCCTGGGCCCATGAGACTCAGTTTATACTTCTTAAAACTCAGAACGTCTCATTTCTAGTTAATAGAGTAAGACTCGTTTCCAGGGTAGATGGTATAGCTCACTGGACAGGCTTGGGCCCATTGTTTGAAACACCTCTAACTTCACCACCAAGGCGTCTAACAGTTTGTGTACTTCCCAAGGTGTGTAGTGGTTAGTACTGGAAATTCAAGTCTAGATCACAGGCCAGAACCATACCCACCCCTGACCACTCACCCCCTGAAGAGTTTCTGTGTAGCCTGGGCTGTTGGGGAACTCTGTAGACCAGGCTGCCCTACAGAGATCCTCCTGTCTCTGCCTGGGATTAAAGGCGTATGCTGTTGACACCAGCTGAGGCCCAAATTTTGTGATCTGAATTAATAAAGAACAGATGTAAAGGTTCTCATGTTTTGTTTTTTTAAGATAGGGTACCTCTGTGTAACAGTCCTAACTGTCCTGGAACTCACTTTGTAGAGGATGGCCTCACATTCAGAGATCTGCCCGCCTCACATATGCACCACCACGCCCAGATTCCTCATTATTTTTATCCCCAGGAGCTGGTTTACTCAATACAGTTCCCAGGTTGATTTGGTCTTGAAAATACCAGGGCCAATGGCACAGACCTGTCACCAGCTGCTAAGGAGGCTGATGCAGGATTACAAATTCAAGGTCATGAGCAATTTAAAAGACCATATCTAGAAGCAACAGGGCAGGCCAATACTCATGGCATCAACAACTCTTGTCCAGAGGGATCTGAGGCCCTCTCAAGGCAGATTAAACAGGAGGCAAAACAAAATTAAATGCACACTTACATTCAATCTCAGCACTACTGCAAGGGGAACAAAAAAAGTTCCTTAAAATAATCAGTTCATGCCACCAATTTGTGGGGATGGGTGGTGATATATTATTTATGATTAAAGCTTGACTGAGAATTCAGAAAACAATGCCATAAAAGCCAGGCACACACCTTTAATCCCAACATTAGGGAAGTATGTAAGACAGAAAGAAACGGTCTCAGAGGGGCATTCATTTTCCAGCCACACTGAGAGGTAGTGGCAGGCTGCTCTGCTTTTCTGATCTTCAGCTTGAAGTTTGTACCCCAATACCAGTCTCTGGGTCCTTGTATTACATCCTGTTACAGGGATTAGAGAGGCCTGCATGCAAACTAGGCATTCAACTGAGTTATGCCCCCAGTTCTATTTTGACCAGACCTGTAAGATATTTTTAATCTATAGGATCTAACTAATCTAGAACAGTCTCATCTCTAAAGAGAACAGCAGAAAAGAAGCTGGGATGCATTTCTGTCTAGTCACTAAGTGTCAACTGCTATACCATTCAACTATTATTGTCTCAAAAGTGGAGGACTGAAGGACCAGCCAGTGCTACAGAACATGGCCTTAAAACAAAACCCAGATTAAGTGGTGACTAGTGTATTTTTGGATATGCAGCGCAGCACTGTCCCTGTAGCATCTCATGTGGCAGAAATACACCTGCCAGTTTTCAATCCTCCAAAGAACCACACTGACTGGCCTGAGCAAGGCTAAGCAGGAGCCCTGTCCCACAAAACAAGCTTCCTGAGTTGTATCTTAGGACATGCTAACAGCTGGGGCAGGATGAAAGCAGAGGCCGGCCTCTCCCCAGACTCCTCACTCCATGCTGCAAACCCACACTGTTCCAATGCCTTCTCTTCCTCATACTACCTCTGGACAACTGAGGCCAGTATGGCATTGAGCCTCTCTCACCTATGCACAAACCCTCCCAAGAGGTCCCACCGGGCACTAAGAAGCAAAGAACAATCTCCTGATCAAAAAGGCAGAAAATACCAAGATATCAGTTTTTGTGGTTTTATTTAAACACAAATAAAACACGTACACCAGCCATCTACTCATTTTCTTCACTGCGAAGCCTGGCATTGGGATTGGTGATTCTGATGGCCAGCTGTGCTGCTCTTTCTACGATGGCTTTTCGGTTCTTGGAGGAAACGTTGTGAGCAATCTCAGCACAATAAGATCTGAAAGAGAAGCATGCCAGTGAGTGAGGGGCAAGCCAGGAAAGGACACCAGGGAGCCAGTGACTCCTGGCAAATGGCTTAATGAGCCCTGAAAGCACCAATGCTCGCACAGTGGTCTATGATAGTGACTAGGCCCACACCAGACACAGGCTCTCCCCCCACACCGGAGTGACTAATCCAGAATTCTTCCACAGGAGCCTAAAAGCTTCCCGTGCAACCACTGTCAGGGACACAGTTCAAGCAGAGTGAACAACAGATACCACCTGTGTTATCCATGTGCTGACTGTCCTAATGAGCACATTCCCAGCAATGGAGGGGACTATGAAGGCCCAGACCCCAGCTGATGAAAACCCACTTGAGAAGCAGTCACACAGTGATGTGAGCAGCAGGCAGTTTTTCCCAAAAGGAAAGCAGCCAGACAGCAAACACCAAGTCCAGACAGACCCTTACTTTACACACTCAAGTATCTGGGGATAGAGTTATCCCGTCAATCCTGAAGCCCACGTCTCTGGCTACCCACATCCATCAACAACCTGTACACCCACCAGGACTCCACCACCCAGGAACTTACTTTTGGTGTTTTTCTGTAACTGCCTTCCCAATTCTCTGCCTCTCAGTTACACAGGAGAAAATGCCCAGACAATGCAGTGAGCAGGTGCACTTGCAGGCTTTGATAAACAATGCCAAGCTGCTCTCATCAGGCAAGTGAGAAGTATCCTTAAGAACTGCACCAACCAACACTGCACCCAAAGACAGAACACTGCCCCAAGCTTGCCTTCTGTACACAATAACTCCCCATGCTGACTCCCTCCATCTGTATTACAGCCACCTCAGAGAACAGACCTTTATAAACTCCCCCAACCTCCAATCACTCTCTGCAGTCTGTTTGACTTGGTAAAAAGTAAATGCAGCTTCCCAACCCGTTTACCAGGAAGAAAAAATAAACTGTGTTGCTACCCCATCTGCATACCTACCCAGACCCATTGTCAAGGGCATTTCCTAGAGGCCCTGGCTTTGATGCAAGGGGTTTAAGTTGCTCCAATTGTTCAGAAAACCCCAGAACTCCTCTGCCTGCAGCCTTTTCTCTACCTCAGCTCCTACATACTGGCACCACTCTGCAAGTCCCCAAGTCACGACAGAGCCAAGCATTGCTTGAGTCCAAGGTCAGACTCCCTCCCAGTCTCACATCACCACAGTATCATTCCAGACAGGTCCACAAAGGATACCCACTGTACCAAAGGAGGCCTCCCTCTTCTCCAGCCAGCCTCGGGTCTCAAACCTTTTGAGCACACATGGGAACTGAGCAGTCCCCACAGGCACCCTCTAAGATGTGTACTCTAGCCCCTGCCTCCGCGGGCCAGCACCCAACTCACTTGTTGCACATCAGCAGCACTTCCAGCTCCTTGACATTGTGAACCAGAAACTTCCGGAAGCCGCTAGGCAGCATGTGCTTGGTTTTTTTGTTGCTCCCGTAACCAATGTTGGGCATCAGGATCTGGCCCTTGAATCTTCTCCGAACCCTGTTGTCAATACCTCTGGGTTTCCGCCAGTTTCGCTGAAGACACACAGGTAAGTTAGTCTCTGTGCAAACTGCCAGCTCTTCCTTGGCAGGAAGGAGAGCTAAATTCAAAGGAGACATGCCATATAGGAGGCGCCCTCGGCCACATACCTCCCCACTTCCTTATACACTTTTCTTTTGGGTTTTTGATACGGGGTTTATGTAGCCCTGGCTGTCATAGAACTAACTCTGTAGACCAGACCTGCCTCTCAAGTGCTGGGATTAAGATTAAAGGCATGCATTATCACCACTACCCGGCTTTATACACTTTTGACAGGGGAAACAAATAAAAACAACAACAAAACCCAAAGGCTGATGCTGACAAGGCTGTGGCTCAGTGTAGACTCTCCCAACAAATTCAGATCCACACTGCTCTAAGTAAAACAAGACTGTGAGCACAATTGGTTTGCATGCTGCTCTCAAGACAAGGTTACTGCCCGTTCAAATACAGGTGGTAGAACGTTTGCTTGGCATGCATAAAGCCCTGAGCTCCATCCCTAGCACTTGGATCAGAATTTCAACATAACCTTCCACTTCTGATTGACTTTCAAAAAACAGGGACACAGGGTCCTGCCTGAGGAGGGATCAGTCACATGCTGGCTGTACTTGCCCATCCCGCCAACTGGTGGCCTCTGGGCACAGCAGTTAAGAGCACTGCTGCACTTCCAGAGGTCCCAAGTTCAACTCCCAGCACCCACATGGCAGCTCACAACTGTCTGCAACTCCACTTCCAGAGGGCCTGACAAATATAGGAGGCAAAATACCAATACTCATAAGCTTGGGGACAGGGGAGGAGGTGGCACACTGGCTTCTCTTCCAGAGGTCCTGCGTTCAATTCCCAGCACTCAACTCTGAAGTGCTGACAAACCCCCATACACACAAAACATGCACATAAATAAATACGCCTTTAAAAGCCACAGTTAGGCTGCAGAGATGGCTCAGGGTAAGTGCCTGCTGCTAAGCCTAACCCTAACCCAAGCCTGTTCACCTGGACCCACATGATGGGGAGAATCAACTCCTGACCTTCACCCCAGCACCCACGTCCACCCATAACCACACCTTAATTTTGACATATCGATCTGACTGGTGCCGGATGAACTTCTTGGTCCTCTTTTTGACGATCTTGGGCTTCACCAGAGGGCGGAGGGCAGCCATGATGCCTATAAAAAGAGGCAGACCCACGTCAACGAAGGACCAGGGAGAGGGGAGAGCTGTTTGACCAAGGCCTGAGTGATGTTGCAGAGTGTCTTCCAATCACCAGCTACTGAGCAAACTGGGAATGGAATGGGTACCTCTGCTAGGCTTGTTCTCCCTCCTGCTTCCGAAGCTGGAAGAATACTAGCCACTCTCCAGACGCGATCTCAAGAGGTCAGAGGTCACCTCACGAATGGCGGCAGCTGACCTATAACCCGAAGCAAGGCATTCTAGTGGGCAAGGGGGTGCAAATCCCGCCCCACTAAAGCCCCACAACCACCAAGCGGCCGTTACGTTATAAATTTTGCGCCCTCAAAGAGGGAAAATCACCCCCTACACCTTACACACCAGACAGCGTGTGCCTCCAGGATCGCTTCGGGGCGCTCACAGAAAGGCTGCAAATGTCTGTTGCCTCCACAGACAATCTGCTCTGTCGGGCACGCACTAAAGGCCCAACGGACAAATGTTTAGCGGGAACCTCTGCTCCCTGGCACCTCCAAGGCAAGCAACGGAGGCCCTCCCCGCTACCAAGCGGCCCGGAGGCCAGGGACTGAATGGGAAACGGCGTGCGGCATGGCAGCAAACCGGCCCTGGCCGCTGCCTGGCCCTGAGCCGACGCCGTAGCAATGCGAGCGGCCAGTAGGCCCGGCCCGTGCGCGCTCGCCACTGCGGCGCCAGCGCGACTTCGACGCCGAGGCTTCCCCACCTGGCGATGCTAAGGCCTCCCTACCCGGCGACTGGGCCGCGCCGAACCCACAGACAGGCAGATGGCAGGCGATGCAGACTCACCGCAAAAGAGATGGCAGCCACCTCGCAGGTAGCGCCGAGGAAGAAGGGAGGGGCGGGAGCACGCAAGGGATGATGGGAAGGAGCCTCAGGTCCTGGTAGGCAAAAGTGAAGCACTTCCGGCTCTGGGTCCTCCAAAGGAACCTAAGACGTGTCTGAGAAGTAATGCTGGAAAAAAAAAAAGGTACTAGTGTTCTGTTGCATACGTTAACATCTTGGAGCGAACTAAAGACGGATCTTTCTCTTGAGACTATTTGGAAAATTTGGAATTTCTTTTTGAGCTAAGACCTGTAAGGTGGGCATCTACTTCCGCCCTAAGTGGAAGTCCAATCTGTTTTTAATATTTGTTCGCTCCCTAGTGCGCCTCTTAGTGGCTAGGAGGTAGCAAAATGGATACTTCTTTGACAGGTTCCCCAGAGGGTTGGTTGAGCAACCGTCCCAAAACATCAGACTATACTACAGTTGCTCAAACCCCTGAACTATGAAGTGCTACGAAACCTGTCCGCATCTTCCGTATGTTTTAAATCACCTCTACTCATGGTACGTACTTAGGGCAGTGTATTAATAAATGCTAGATTGATATATTGCTTAAGAAATAATGACAAGTGGTGGTGCACGCCTTTTAATCCCAGCATTTGAGAGGCAGAGATAAGTGGATCTCATTTAATTCAAAGCTGTAGGGAGTTCCAGGCCAGCCAGAGGTACATAGTGAGACAGCACACACACACAAAGTCTGTGTACTTAATACAGATACAGTTTTATTTTAAATATACTCATTTTTCAGTTAGCTGAATCGGTGAATGCATCTGTGGAACAAGGGCTATGGAGAGCCAACCTTACTAATAAAACAAGGCTATAATAGCTACCCCTCCGTGGGGTTTCATGTCCTTGTCATAGTTGTGCACGATGATTCTGTTCTTTCCTTCATTTGTTATATATGGGAAGTAAATTTGGAAGGCATGGCTCCTAGATCCACGCCTCCAATCATTCATCTGCGACACTTTAAAATTGTTCCTGGTCTCTTTAGCTTTTGTTTTTCAGATCAGTGTGAAAATCTAATTGTAGGAGGATATAAACTCAAACTAAGGTCTGGTTAAGTGGTTAAGAGCACTTGCTGCTCTTGTAGAGCACACAGGTTTAGTTCCCAGCACACATATGTTCCCTCACAAACTTGTAACTTCAGTCCTAGGGGATCCAATGCCCTCTTCTGTGGGTACTACATGCATGTGGCACATACATGCAGGCAAAACACTCAAGCACATAGAATAAACCTTTTTTGTTGTTGTTTCTGTGTTTAGAGACAGGGTTTCTCTGTGTAGCCCTGGCTGTCCTGGAACTCTATTCTGTTAGATCAGACTGGCCTTGAGCTCAGACATCTGTCTATCTCTGCCTCCTAAATGCTGGGGTTAAAGGAAAGTGTTACCACTGCCTGGAAGAATAAATCTTAAAAAAAAAAAAAAATTAAAAACCTTAAGTCTACTCCAACACAGCAGATTCACTGATCTTGACAGTAGTTCCAAGAGATGGGGACAGATGCTAAACTGGATGTTTTGCCTCAACAGGAAGTGAGATGGGATGAGGGCAGGAATGCTGACAACTCGCCTTGATGCACTGTCTGTAAAGGGAAATAGACACCCAGAGAAGTAAAGTGTCCTGCCTGAGATGGCTAGCTAGCAAGCTGCAGGGTAGGACTGGAGCTCTCCTGTGCCTGTGATGCCCACTCTTCCCCAGGACTGCTTATCCTACAGGCTACATGAAATCCAATGCTATCCACTGGTATGTGGACCATGGGAGTGCAGCTAATGGCAGCTTACAGAGTACATTTCATTTGAACTTTGAATCACTTGAAGGCCCATGAACCAGAGAGTATGGCTCTGATTTCTGAAGACCACAGGTATTGGGGGGGGGGCCTCAATCTAATGGGGAGATAAGAACTGCTGCTACCTCATTTTGCTTTGCAGAGGACACTGTCTGTTGCGGGAGGTGTCCTGGGGAACCAGTGTCTTATGCACTCACACCTTCCGGTTTCTCAGTCCTTAAACAGGAATCACATCAGCTAGGCTATAGGTCAGCTCTAACCTGGTTTATTTCAAAAGGGCATAGGTCATGACAGGGTAGCAAACACAGCATATATGTGCCTGGACACATCCACACCTCCAGGCACTTGAGACTGTTTCTTTTGTATGGCTCTTTGATATCTCATGCCTGCAGCTGTGCGGCCCTGGCTGCACTGTCTTCTGGCCCAGAAGCCCCTAGGCCACTCTAGGTGATGGAGTACACCTTGTTTGCATCATAATAGGCATGTATCATGTATGCCCAGTCTTTCAGGGGCCACCAGTCCTTAGAGTGGTAGGCAGCACTGTAAACATGGCGCTTGTGTTCCACAAAGCTGAAGATTGCCTGGCTCTTGTCCGGGGCCACAGTGGGCAGAAAGAGCCGCAGCTTATCCAGAAGGTGACCAGGCCAGAAGTGATTGGGGTGGGTATATGAGGGTCCACTGATTTTCTTGGCCTTCAGCTTTCTGCAAGAGGGGAGGACACAGGGAAGGTTGCTGTGGCAGAGAGACCAGGCAGGGCTCCTTCTCAGCAGATCACATGAGCTGTCACATGCTCTACACACTTCAAGTCCCCTCACCAGTGAGGACCCAGAGGTCTAGAGGTCAAAATCACGCAGTGAATGAGTGGCTACATTCAGGCTCAGTCACTGCTTCTTAAACCCAAGCTTAGATGTCTACTGTCCTTGCTCTAGAACACTGGTCCTCAACCTTCCTAATGCTGCAACCCTTTATATACCTCCTCATGTTGTGGTGACCTCCAATCATAAAGTGATTTTCGTTGCTACTTGGTAACTAAAATTTTGCCACTTTAAGAATCATAATGTAATTAAATAAAAAAAAATTGCTTTGACTCCAAAATTTAAGTTCAAGGACAAGTTACTTGGGAAAAGGAATTCTATTTTTGTTTCCACAGAAAATGAAAAGCTGTAGATTCCTTCCAGACTAATGTGGTTTGATCAACCCGACCGCCTTTGATTCTACATTCAAAACAGCTGGACAAAGCAGCCTTACAGACTACAGCCAGGATTTCTGCATCTTCTTAGAATCCCCCATGACAGCCCCTTACCAGCAGAAAGTAGTTTGGAAAGAACAACGCCCAAATTCCCAAATATTGTCTATAAATGCTTGTTTTCATTTAAATGGACTTGGTTATATAAAATAAATATGTATATATATAAAGAAAAACAAAAAAAGAATCATAATGTAAATATGTGTTTTCTCTTAGGAAACACCTGTGAAAAAGTCGTTCGAATAGCTGGGCATTGGTGGCTCACGACTTTAATCCTAGTACTCTGGAGGCAGAGGTAAGAGGGATCTCTGTGAGTTGAAGGCCAGCCTGGCCTACAGAGAGAGTTCCAGGACAACCTCCAAAGCAATACAGAAAAACCCTGTCTCCGAAAATCAAAAACAAAAGTCATTCGATTCTCTAAAGGGTCACAACCCACAAGATGAGAACTGTTGCTCTAGAGTGCTTGCTTCCCCCCAACCCCCTCACCTCACCTGGCCTGTGCAGTGTTGGGTATAGAAATTAGGGCCTCACATGCTCTAGGCTAGTACCCAACTGCTAAGCTACGGACAGTCCCATCTGGAATCATTTTGGATATCATGTCTGGAGTCTGGCTTCATGAGCCAGCCTCACTGGGTTTGGCTTCAGATGTGGGACTGTCAGTAACCCTTCCTATAATTGGAATGTCCAGAGCAACTCAGGCATTTTGGTAACAATATAGATGAGTTCACTAATAAGAGGTCCCAGAGCAGCCATGCCTGTCACTCTCTGAATGCTCTTCTGCTGCCCCTTAAGGCTCTGGGCATGGAGTCCCACAGCAGTCCTAGGATCTTGTCCAGTGTGCATGGGTCCCAGAGCTACCTCTAGTTGGAGGGGAGGGCAGCTCTCTCATCTTCACCCCTGCCCTCCAGCAGACACACAGGACCACTACATACCCAGTAAACTCCTCGAACTCCTGGAAGTGCATTTTCTTGAGTTTCTTTGATGTTTTCCTAGCAGGGAATAGAGAGAGTCATTGTTAGGAGAAACTCCAGGAGCTGGGCAGTGATGGCACATATACTTTAATCTCAGAACTTGGGGGGCAGAGGCAGCCGGATCTGTGAGTTTTAGGCCAACCTGATCTACAGAGTGATTTCCAGGACAGCTAGGCTACACAGAGAAAAACTGCCTTGAAAAAAAAAAAGTAGGCTTTGGGGAGGGGGGCATTAAAGGGTGCATTTCTGGGTCTCAGACCAGAGTGCTGAACATCTTTCTTTGTGGTGAGGCCCTAGCCATGTCTCCATACACCAAGGCGCTTAGCCAGATTGGTGGAGGGAGGAAAACCTTGGCTTTCTTAGTCTGTGGGAGGGAGGCCTCCAAAATAGTCAGTTAATGTGTTCAGCAATCTGTAGATGCCAAAGCCTAACTCCCACTCCGTCTTCTAGAGGCCAAGCTTTGTGGGACAAGCATAGTACAGAATCACCCTCCATACCTTAGTCCAGCAGGCATCACTAACTGAGCACTGATGCCTTTGCAAGCCCACATCTGGCCTCAGAATCTCTGGGTTATTTTCTTTTAATACAAAGGATTGAACTCTGGGCCTTATATACTCTCTACCCCTAGAGCCTGGCCTCGGGAGTTTTACAATCTAGTCCCTAGTGGTAAGAGAGAGCCAATGTCCCTCCTTTATTTAGAGGGCCTTTCTCTCTCCCTTTTAAAATTTTATTTATTGCCTGGTGGTGGTGGCTCACACCTTTAATCCCAGCACTCCGGAGGAAGAGGCAGGCAGATCTCTGTGAATTTGAGACCAGCCTGGTCTACACAGTTAGTTCCAGATCAGGCTCTAAATCTACAGAGAGAAACCCTGTCTCAAAAAAACAAAACAAAACAAAAAAAGATTTATTTATTTTATGTATGAGTGCTCTATCTGCATGTACAACTTTATTCCAGAAGAGGGCATCAGATCCCACTGCAGAGGGTTGTGAGCCACCATGTGGTTTCTGGGACTTGAACTCAGGAGTTCTGGAAGAGCAGCCAGGACTCTTAACAGCTGAGCCATCTTTCCAGCCCCCTCTTTATGTTTTACACCTGTGGCTGGTCAAACACAAGCAAAAATCTCTTTTCGGGGCAGCCGCCCACTTCCTCGATTCATGGCTCAGGAACTGGTGACAGCGAGCCACAGGTTACAAGGCTCATCTCAGGGGCTCTCTAACTACTACCAGCCTCAGCAGTTTGCAAGACACACTGCTGTGGGCCTAGACACCAGGACAGGTTTAGCATAAAGCCTCAGCCACACTGTGGCCCTTGTCTAACCCTCTCGGTGTGTGATAGGAGTACCGAATCCACTTTGTACACGAAGACGCTGAGGCTATTGACAACCTGTCTGATGTCCACCCTGTGGCTCTACAGCCTGTCCCCAAGCATTCTGCCACCCCTTCCCCCCATCTGTCTGCAGGGATGCCATCTCATCTTCCCTTCTGTAGTCACTACTAATGTTAGTCACAGTATTGCCTCCTGCTTGGTGGGAGTGGAGGGGGACTTGACTTTGGGTCACTTAAAGGAGGCTACTTTCAGAGGACTCAGGCTAGTCTAAGGGTCAGGGCAGCATTTTGTTTTCCCAGGGGATGTGAAGCTGTCGCTTGTTGGAGTGGCAGTACAGGGAAGGAGTTAGTCTCTGTCCTTTGCAGAGTCCCCCAGCTTTTGCTGCAGGGTAAGATAATACCCTTTTGGATCTTTTCCACTGGCCTTATGACTGTATAAGCCTGAGGTCAGGAGGGTATCTGTGTGACCCGAAATTATGCATTAAGGGTGACATTTGGGACTGGCTAGTCAGAAGTAACTGACTAGGTAGGGACACAGATACTGGTACAACATGATGCCACATGCATGCCAGTGTCCTGGCTCCAGCAGCTGAAGGGACAGTCTGAAACTCAGCTTGTTTCTCGTCATCATCCCAAGCTTGTGGAAGCCATTGATCCCAAATCCAGTCAGGCTATAGATAATCTTTTCGTCTACATAATAGCCTCCAGGCTGCCGGATCGGGCGGACTTCTTCTTTCAGAGTAATTATCTTGTCTCCTGGGTACAGTAGTGCTGTGGGCAGCAAAGAAGACAGCAGGTCCATTAGCCAAAGTTGCCTACTTTAGGGTCACATGGGAACAATTTAAAAAATCCACACTTGTATTTAAAAGAGTATTTTTTTTTTTTCTGAGCTATCAGATGGCTTGGCAAGTAGAGTAGCAAAGTGCATATGTGGCGTCTAGAAGACAACGTTGTGGAGTCCGCTCCCTCCACATTAATGTGGGTTCTGGGTATTGAACTTAGGTCATGAGGCTTGGCTGCAAGTGCCTTTATCCACTGAGCCATCTCACTGGCTCTCAACTTTGTAAAATTCCATCTATTTATTTATTTATTAATTCTCTGTGGGGAGGTGGAGAGGGAGAGTACGAATCCAGACTTCATAGGTTAATTGAGCCTGTGTGTTCTTGCATGAATGTATGTGTTTGAGTGTGTGAGAGTGTGTGTGTGTGTGTGTTTGAGCGTGTGTGTACTTGATTACTTGATACAAAAACTACTTAATTTTTTTTCTTTAAAGATATGGTTTTTGTGTGTCATTTTGACTATCCTGAAATTCGCTCTGTAGACCAGGCTGGCCTCATACTCTCAGAGATTCACCTGCCTCTGCCTCCTGAGTGCTAGGATTAATGGCGTGTGCCACTACCACCTGCCCAGCCTTGTTTTGAATTTGTCTTACGTGTGTGTGTGTGTGTGTGTGTGTGTGTGTGTGTGTGTGTGTGTACATGTGTTCATATGTGTGTGTGTGGGTAGGTGGGTACAAGTGTGTGGAGGCAGAGCTCTAGAACCCGGCCCCTCCCCCCATCTCACCTAAGGAGCCCATGTATCTTAGAGCCTGTGCCCTAGGAGTCCCACCTAGCAGTCAGACTATCTGCCTTCCCACCTCCTTCCCAGGATTCCCACCAAAGGCCACAGTGGCTTGGCTGGGCGCATGTATGGGGAAGCCAGTGCCAGGCCAACTCCACATTAGCTGTGGCTGAGGCCCCAGGCTCCCCCTTGAAGCAAGCCCCTACCTCTCATGAGGATGTCCTCAGTCAGTGGGAGACCATAGGACTCGCAGAGTTCCCAGCACTGCAGGTAGACCAGGAAGTTATTCTTGCGGGCCTCATTAACCAGCTCCTCCATCTCCCCAGAAATGGTGGATGGCAGGCAGTGATCATCAAAGGCCTTTGTCCCAGATCGAACCAGCCGGCAGCTCTCCACATATTGGATGGAGGGGAGACAGAGCTGTAGGGAGAACACAGGATGCTCCATCTTGTCTTTGGGACATTCGTCTAGCTGGAAGGCAGAATAGCACCTCCCTCCTTCCTTGGAGGGGGCCCCATGGAGAATAGTGCATAGTGAGACTGCAGTTCAGGTTCCAAAGGCAGCAGCTGAGAGGTCAAGGTTACCTCTCAGAGGCTCTGAGCACTTGGCACCTGAGTCCTGAGAATACAGCCTCGTAACGGATGCGCCCATGTGGCTGTAATGGCTGTAAGAAGGCACGGTAGCAGTAAGTGCCTCACAGGTGTCCTGTTGAAAAATGGCGTGAGTCTTTGGCTGCAGGGGACTCTAAACCAGGGTTAACCGCTTGTGTGTAGTCCTGAGGTAGAAGCTACATGGCCAGTGCAGAGAGAAGTGTCAACCGCTGTCACTGGCTGCTTTTTCCTTTTTCCTTTTTCCTTTTTTTTTTTTTTTTTTTTTTTTTTTTGAGACAGAATCTCAATATGTAGCTCTAACTGGCCTGGAATTCACTGTGTAGACCAGGTTGACCTCAGACTCACAAAGATTTGCCCACCTCAGCCTCCCAAGTATTGGGATTAAAGGCATGTATCCCATTTAGATTTCTTTTCTTTTTTCCCCTTCCTTCCTTCCTCCCTCTCTCTCTCTCTCTCTCTCTCTCTCTCTCTCTCTCTCTCTCTCTGTCTTTCTTTCTTTCTTTCTAAACAATAGGATCTTTCTATGTAGCCCAGGCTGGTCTCCTCCTGGGTACTGGGATTACAGAGGTGTTTCACACACTCAGCTGCTTACTGCACAGATGACAGACAAGGGCTGAGGGGAAGTCTTGAGCCCTGGCCTGCCCAGCCCCGAGTCTATGCTAATGAAGAGGTACCTTGTGTTGCCTCCGCCTCTCTCGGTACCGCTTGCCCACATCCTCCATGTCTTCCTCTGTCATGGGCCGCCCCTCCATCTTTGTATCAACCTCAGGCACCGTCAGCAGGTCCATCTTGGGAGGCTTGGGGGCTGGGACAGCCTGCTGCTTTTGTGCGGTATGCTTCAGTGAAGCTTTCTTCCTGGTCAAACTGTAATCTAAAATTGGAAGGAAAGATGGAAGGGTTAGGAGGGTATTCAGCTGTGGACCTCAACCCGATGCCATTGAGCAGATGCCAACATGGTTTTCTGCCCCCTTCCCATATGTCCAGCCAGTGCCCGTCTGAGGGGCACTGTGAATTTGTCCCCTCCATTGCTATGAAGTCTCCTTTCTGCATACCCCACACCCCTAACCTGCTCTTCCTCATTCTCTGTCACCTTGTTCTCCCAAGTGGCAAATAGGCATGGTGGCACACGACTTTAATCCCAGCACTCTGGAAAGCAGAGGCAGGTGGATCTCTGTGAGTTCAAGGCCAGCTTGGTCTACAAAGTGAGTTCTGGGACAGCTAGGACTGTGACACAGGGAAAAACCTCTCTCCAAAACCAAAAACATGTAAACAAAATCAAGTCCAAATCCTGCCTTTCCAGGGAACACACTCTAAAAACAGACTTCTTTTCCTGGACTGCAAGGACCTGTGGGAATCTGTTTCAGCTGCCGTCCCTCATACTGCACCATTACCGGTGCCCTTCTCACCTCCTGTACTCCAAAAGTTTTCCCTTGGCAGTTCCGCCTGCCTTAGATGCCCTTTACAGAACTGGCCGTGCACCAGTCACTCGGGGGCAGAGCGACAGCTATAGCTCAGGGGCTTTGCCTGACTGCCATGCTGGTACTCCCTCAGTTGTCTCCAAGGCATCCATTTCTGTGGACATCACCTTACCGTGTGTGAGCTGATGGTGCAGAGCTTGGACTAATCCATTGCAGTCTCCCAGTTCCTACAAGTGGGCTAGCATTTTGGAGATACTTCCAAAATGGTGACCAATGGAAGGACTCTGACACCCTGCCATGGTCCTGGTGGCAGCCTCATGCTGGGTGAAATCTTGGCCTCATTTCTTCCTGACATTCCAGACAAGAAGCTCAGCCTCTGTGGACTTCTGCTTCCTCCATGGAAACCAGGCATAGCAACCCTAACCTCCAGATAGGCAGGATAAACTGTGCTGTGCAAATCCAACCAGCCAACTGGTGCCCTGGAGATGCAGGCTCTTCCTTTTCTGAGTTCAGGTGCCCAGAAACTTGTTCCTTTAGACAAACTGAGAGACCCTCCCCCAAGTCCACCTGTCTTACCCACTGCCAATTCCCAGGAGCAAGGAGTTCTGACAATGCTGAAATGGCACCAGTCAATACATGATGTCTGTCTTCAAGTCAAGATAGGGTTTTGTTTCCTTTTTTGTTTGTTTGTTTTTGTTGTTGGCGGTGTTTTTTTTTTTTTTAAAGTGGGGTGGGAAGGATGTATGTGTATTGAAAAAAAATTTTTTCAAGACAGTTTTGGCTGGCCTGGGACTAGCTCTGTAGACGAGGCTGGCCTCGAGCTCACAGAACTCTGCCTGTCTTTGCCTCCTGAGTGCTGAGATTAAAGGCGTGTGCCACCACAGCCTGGTGTATTGAAATCCTTTGACTACAGCTAGTATTCCTAAACATTGTGCTGTAGTGACTCCAGCCAGCTGTGTGATCCCAGCAGCTCTGGGCATTCATAAGACTTTGGGAAGAGCAGAGTGGGGAAATGCAACCCTGAGATGATGCTGGTCCTGGGTCATCGAAGCTGTGGGTTTCCTGGGAGTGGGGGTGGGGTTGGAGGCCAGTGTGTCCACAGGACAGCCTCAGAAAGGAAGCCTGAGAGCTAGAACTGGGGCATTTGCACTATGCAGGAGCCACCGAAGGGCACAGCAGAGAGGACACTGCATACCCTTGGTGTGGCCATTCACCCCAACTCTAGAAACCTTGCTTCAGCTTGGCACCCCCTGCAAGGAAGACCCTCCAACTGCTCCCCCTCATGGCTTTATTTCATCTTAAAGGGACAGAACCCCACCCCTCCCTAAAATGTGTCTGAGATTAATTTCCTACCAGTCTGGTGGAGAGGGGCAGAGGGAGACCCATTCCACCTAAATAAATGATGATGTTGATCTCTTTGAAAGGGAGCTGGATGCTGGGATAAGGAGCATTGCAGTTGTCTGTGGTTCTCCCCACAAAAAAAAAATTTAAAAAGGGGGGAGTTAAGGGGCATTGACCTGTTTGTAGAGTGCTTGCCTAGTGCACAGAGCCCTGAGTTCAATACCAGCACCTTATAAAAATCAGGCATGGTGTCATATACCCATATCCTGGTGCTTAGGAGGCAGAGGCAGGCAGATGTGAGTTCGAGGCCAGCTTGGTCTACAAAGTGAGTCGCAGGCCAGTCAGAGCTATGTAGAGAGACCTTGTCTCAAAACAGACAGAAGATACAGGTGTGTGCTATAAATTCATAGCCTATACATTAGAGAGTCCTAGTTTGTCGCTTGCTGCTTTGGGGCAGATGTAGCCCACAAGCACACGAGGGTAAATGTGAAATGTACAGCATCCCTACTTACAACATCCATGATGACAGAAAACCACCCAAACCAACTAACTCCATTCAGTTTGTGAGCAAGCTATTTTAGTTAACCTTTCCTTTTTTTTTTTTTTTTTCCTTTTCAGATAAAGTCTCCTGTATCCCACACTGACCTCAAACTCTCTGCATAGCCAATGATGACCTTGAACTTCTGACCCTCCCACCTCTACCCTGAGTGTTAGAACTGTGGATGTGCACCACCATGCCTGGTGTATGCAGTGCCGGGACAGAATCCAGGGCTTTGAAGATGCTAGACAAGCACTCTGCCAACTGCTCCACATTCCTAGTCCTCAGTTTTGTTTTAAATCAATCACTTATGTCCATCTAAGGACAGAAGCTGAACTTCATCTTTGAATAGACAAAAGGGCAACTGGGCCCTTGAGAAAATATCTGCTTCCCCATTGACCTCTGTGTCTGGAAACTCCAGAGCTTGGCAAACCTATTACAAGCCAGAGAAGGAGGTGCCACTTGAGGATGTAAATGCTTGGGAGAGCCAGCCTGACTTAGAGCAGAGAGGGCACGCACACTCTTTGGCAGTGGGCAGGGTGCTTCTCTGCTGGGCCAGTGACCACTGCTTGTAAGTGCTGGCCAGGGCATCGGTGGTGATGGCGTTCTGCTTCCCGAGAGAGCCAAGGTAGATGATTATGTCCTCCAGCTCCTGGTTCTTCAGAGGAACTCCAATCTGAGGAGGCACAAGAACTTCCTGAGGTCTACCTCACCCTAACCAATAGGCTTGGCCAACCTGCTCAACCCGCCAACTCCTTGCTGTCACAGGAGTGCAGAGCCCTTGCCAGGTTCCCAAATGTACTCTGCAATTAATCACACCTTGCTTTTGCCCAGGCAGTTTCCTACTTCTGCCTGAAAAACTCCTATCCCTCCTTTAAAACCCAGGCCAGATACATCTTTACAAAGTCTTTTTCAGTTTATTAGCATATTGGATAGAAAGAAAGCCATATATTCTCCATGCGGAACAAGTATGCTGGCCCCAACTGAAGAAATCTATACACCTTTTTTGCTTTCTTTCTTTCTTTCTTCTTTCCTTCCTTCCTTCCTTTCTTTCCCCTTTTTCTTTTTTTTTTTTTTTTTTTTTTTTTTTTTTTTTTTTTTTTTTTTTTTGATTTTTTTGAGACAGGACTTCTTTCTGTAGCTTTGGAACCTGTCCTGGAACTAGCTCTGTAGACCAGGCTGGCCTCGAACTCACAGAGATCCGCCTGCCTCTGCTTCCCGAGTGCTGGGATCAAAGACTATTCTTGGTTGTCAACTTGACTACATCTGGAATTAATTAAACCCCAAGTGGCTGGATACACCTGTGAGAAATTTTTCTTAATTAAATCACTTGAAGTGGAAAGATAACCACAGACCTTTTGCAGTGAGATCCACCTTTAATTTGGACCACACCTGCTGGCAGCCTATATAAAGGACATGGAAGATGGAAGCTTGCTCTCTTTGCCTGCATTCCTTCACTCTCTCTGGCAATCCCATTCCTCCACTGGCATTAGAGCCTACTTCTTCCTTTGGGATTCTGGCACATACTGAAGTCCAGCTGTGACACCCAGCCTTGTTAACTGAACAACCAATGGGTTCTTGAACCTTCCATCAGGAGACTGTTGGAATAGTTTGGCCATAACCTATAACTGCTCTAATAGACACCATACATGCAGAAATACTTCTATCAGTTTTGTTTCTCTAGAGAACCATGACTAACACAAAGGACAACAGACAACTTTGGAGGTACACAGTGCTTCCTAGAAACAGTGTTCAGAAAGGAAACAATTGTGAGTATAATTGTCTCTTCATTCCCTTTAGACAATAGTCATTGTTGAACTGTCCTTGGTCCAGCTCAGAACTGTCCTAGTGCTAAAGGATTTCATATTTAAACATTTAAAAAAGATTAGCCTAGTGTGGTGGTTCACACATTTAATTTTAGCACTAGGGAGGCAGAGACAGTTTGAGGCCAGCCTAGGCTACAGAGTAAGTTCCAGTACAGCCAGGGCTATTACAAAGAGCCCTGTCTCAGAAAAAATTATTTTATGTATAAAGTGTTTTGCCTGTATGTAAGTGCACCATATGCCTGCCTAGTGTCCAAAGAGGTCCAATAAGGGTATCAGATCAGATACCCTGGAACTGGAGTTACAGAGGATTGTGCAGTGTTGAGACTGGGAACCAAATCACAGTCTTCTGCAAGAGCAGCAAATGGTCTTAACTGCTAATCTATCTCTCCTGGCCCAAGATTTAATATTTAAACTTTTTTTTGGTAGTTGAAGACATTTACTTTTTTAAAATGTCTTGGATGTTGTTCATATATTTCATAAAAATGTTTGAAAATTGGTTAATTGAAACTGTAAAAGTTTACTAGTATGTGCAAGGTGCTGAGTTCAAGCCCCAGCTGGAGAGACTGATGGGGGGGGGGGCTAGAGAAGTAGCGAGGCAATTAAGAATGTATGCTGTTCTTTAAAAAAAAAATTATTCAATTATTACGTATATAGTGTTCTGCCTGCATGTATGCCTGCACGCCAGAAAAGGGGACCAGATCTCATTACAGATGGTTGTGAGCCACCATGTGGTTGCTGGGAATTGAACTCAAGACCTCCGGAAGAGCAGCCAGTGCTCATAGCCTGTGAGCCATCTCTCTGGCCCCTGTATGCTGTTCTTGCAGAGGATTTGGGTTTGCTTCCTGATGCCAGCATCTGGCTGCTCACAATCATCTGTAACTTCAGCTCCAAGGATCTGAAGTCCTCTTTTGGCTTCTGCAGGCACCAGCACAAACACACACATACACATAATCAAAAGCAAAAACTGGGAGATGGCCAGTGATGGACAACACCTTTAATACCAGCGCTTGGGAGGGGTGATTTAGACTAAGGTAGCCTCTGGGCATACCTCTTGATTTAGCTCAATTCAAGTGGCAAGACCCGCCCTGAAGGGAGAAAGCATCAGAAGAGGTTCCTAGAGTTAAAGGTAGTTGTGGGTCACCTGATGTGGGTGTTTGGAATTGACCTCTGTCCTCTGGAAGAACAAATGCTTTAACCACTGAGCCATCTCTCTTTAGCATCAGGTATGGCATTGGCTTTTGCTTGGCACTAGTGATGTAATGATAGGCCTTGTACATGCTAAACACAGATTCTATCACTGAGCTGCACCCCAGTGAATGGTAGAGGGTTTTGTTGTTTGTCTTGTGTATGCATATGGATGTTTCGCTTGCATTTTTGTATATTTGTACACCATGTGCATGCAGGGCACATGGAAGCCAGAAGAGTGCATCGGATCCTCTGGGACTGGAGTTACAGGTAGTTGTTAGCTGCCATGTGGGTGCTTGAAACTGAACCTGGGTCCTCCCCAAGAGCCATCTCTCCAAGTTAGCCTGATGCAAAGGTGGCTTTTAAGACTATGATCTGACTGTGGGTTGTGCCATGTTTCCCATCATGGCTCTGCAAATATAAGGCTGGTAGTGTGAACCCCTGTGTCTGCCCCTCAGAACCTCAGAGCCTCCAGAGGTAGGGCACACCCCAGGCCCCGTGGAGAAGCTTGTACTTGTACTTACTGTCTTCAGAGCCATGATGAATTCCTCCCTGGTGATGCGCTGGTTCTCACCCCGCTCTACCTTGCTAAATACGTCCAGGATCTTGATCTTTCGGCTACGCAGGTAGGAGTACAAGTCCGCCAAGATAGAGGGCTTGGGCAATCGCAGCTGGGGTAGAGGTTGACGGATAGGTCTGGGAGCTTTGGCCTGGAAGAGGAAAGAGTATGGACTGCTTAGATGTGCACATCCCTAGCCCTCTAGTTAAACTTTAATCTCACTTCAGAACCCAAAGAAGGACTGGAAGGAGGGTGAATTGTATGTCTTTGTCCCTGTTTACATTGAATAAATCTCCTGTAACTGTTCTTTATTATTATTAATTAGACTGCTTTCATAGGCTTATTGAGTATGGGTGACTGAATTTAATTCTCAAGGTACAAACTATGACTCAAGGTAGGTGATGTCATCACAATATGCTCCTCTTCCTCACCCTTACCTCACAGTTGTGATCCCCAAACTAGCTCACAAGCACAGGTTTAAGACCATCCATTAGTGTGCCCCAGCTGAGGTGCTTTTAAAGCACACCTCTGTGTTCTCAGACTGTCCTCTTGCCAAGATGGAATTCCTTTTCCATCCCCATGGTGCAGGCAGTCCTCAGTGGCTCATTCTGACATTGTGGAATAGCAAGACCAGAGCCTTGGGCATAACAGTACTATGACTTCTTCCTCCCTCTCTGTTCTGGAAGGCAGCTAACCTTATTGTGAGAACTTGTCTGCAGCCTCTGGGAGGTCCCTGAGGGAGGCAATAAAACCTCTGGTCAATAGCTGTTTGTACAGGCTTGGAAGACAGTTTGTCTTCCTGCACTGGTCGAGTCAGAGGTTAGACTCCAGTTAGACTCATGATATGGAGACAAAGCCTCCCAGCTAGATGGCACCCAGATTCCTGAGTCACAGACACAGCTGTATGCAATACTAAGTATTTTTTTTTTCCTTTAAGTCCCTCTGGGGTATTTGTTATGCAGCAATAGATAACTCATACATCTTCCTTGGGGAAACTGCTTTTGCTCCTCTGGAAAAAAAGGGACAAACCATCTTGTCCTGTCTAATCCAAGGAAACAGAATGTCAAAATACCCCTGAAGACTTCAGCATCTTGTGCTCATCAGGGCTTCTCACCTTGGTTGTCCTGGTTGAAGTGAAGGTATCTTTGGGGGCTTTTTTCTCCTGGCGAATCATGAGCAGAACCTTGGCCTCTGATGGTGTGATGTCGGGCTTATTCTCCAGCCACGTCTTGACATCACCAAATGACTCCAGCTGCCTCCGGAGCTTTGCCCTCTGGCTCAGCCAGACCTTCCTGTCCACTGGTGGCTCTTGAAGGTCTCCAATATCTAGAGTTTTGAAGCTAGGTATGGGTGGAGGGGGAGCTTTAGCGGGCATCGCCGGGTGGGCTGGCACCTGGTCCTTTGTCCCAGATACAATGATGATTCGCCTGCGGCTCTGTGGCAGGTGGAAGTCTTTCTTTTTCAAGTGCCTGAAGCAGTGGGCAGTGACCCGCTCAGGATTGAAGACAGGACCCTTGCTGGTGGCTTCATCCATGTCATCATCTATGGAAGTGTAAGACGGGAAGGCCCCTTGGGAGAAGAGGGTTACAAGGTGAGTTCCTTTTCGGAAGAGTAATAACAGGAGCCAGGGAAGGGGGAACGTTGCGGGGCTGGCTGTATATCAGGGCGCCTGGTCCCTGCCTGGCTCTCATCACTGCATCATGATGGTGAAGAAAAAGATGTTAGCTAATGTGACCTGTATGGCAACAGAAGGCACAAAGCCAAGAGCTTCCCACAGTCTCCAACTCCTACTGCACTCTGCATGTGCTCCACACTAGACACCACAGCGCCCTCTGGTGGGAGCAAAGGCTTTGCTCCAGAGAGCTTGGGTCTGAGTGCTGGCTTGCTTCCTGCTCAATCTTCTGTATCTCCCTTTCTTCTGTAAGATGGGGATAATGGATACCTAATTTATCAGGCAATGGAGGAGTTTATTAGAGTTGCTTTGTACATAAGTGTACTGTTATATACATACACACATCTACATTCACTACATATAAGTTCTCTTCTTCATTATGCTAAGATGTGAACCCAGGGCCTGGTGCTTGGTAGAGAAGTACTGTGTCACTTAGCTACATTCCTCAGTCCCCAACTTGTAATGACATGGCAGGTGGGCACAGAGGAAGCTTACACATGAAAAGGCAAAGCACTATCACAAGGAATACAGGCAGATGTACTGGACGGAGATTCAGATGGCTAGGATGGCAAGGAAAGCTAGAAACTTCTACGTGCCTGCAGAACCCAAGCTAGCATTTGCCATCTGAATCCGAGGTATCAATGGTGTAAGCCCAAAGGTCCACAAGGTATTGCAGCTGTTCTGTCTTAGTTAGATCTTCAATGGCACCTTTGTTAAGCTCAACAGGGCTTCAATTAACATGCTGATTGTGGAACCATACATTGCATGGGGGTACCCCAACCTGAAGTCAGTAAACGAACTCATCTACAAGCATGGCTATGGCAAAATCACTAAGACAATTCCTTGATTGCTTGATCTCTTGGTAAATACAGCATTATCTGCATGGAGGACCTAATCCATGAGATCTATACAGTTGGAAAATGCTTAAAGGAAGTGAATAACTTCCTGTGGCCCTTCAAATTATCTTCTCCATGAGGTGGAATGAAGAAAAAGACAACTCATTTTGTAGAAGATGGAGATGCTGGCAACAGAGAAGACCAGATAAACAGGCTTATTAGATAGATGAACTAAGGTATTAAGGTGTTGCCCATGGTATTTTTGTAATCTGGTCAGTTAATAAACAGTCACAGCTTGTCAGAAAAAAAAAAAAAAAAAAAAAAAAAAAAGATCCAGCAAGATGCAAGATGTAGTAGGCCTCTGACTCAGCAAAAGTTGCTGAGTTTCCAGCCTTCTGACCTTGCCAGACTAGCCCCAGTTGTTAGGAACTAGCAGCCAGCTGACCCCCTGCCCCAACGATGGGCGGGACGCTCATGGCCATGTCATCCCTATGTCAGCTTTACCTGGCAGCCAGAGGACTCGGTTACGCATGCACAAGCAAGCCCGCCAAGTGCTTCCCTCTCTCTGCCTCTCTGTGCTTCTTTGCTCTCTCTCTGTTCTCTCTCTCTCCTGCTTTCGGTTGGCCACCAGCTACCCCCTCTTTCTCTCTCCTCTCTCAATAAACTCCACGTGGGTGAGGAGTCTCGTGTTTGTGTTTCTTAGGCATAAGCTGCAGCAAAAGAACAACACCAGTCACTAGGAAGTCAGATACCCATGTGGCAAGGAACCAATCAGAAGTTAGCTGGCATGCTCTGGATGTGCTTGCAGATCATAGCAATCGCCCTGGGAGGGCATGTAGGCCGTAGCAACCAGTTGACCAATCAACACAGGCAGGTCATCCAAGCCTGGAAGTGCACTAATCCTGAGACTGTAGTGGACTCCCTAGACATTCCCCTTGCTCACCCCAATAAATCCCCTGCCTCTCTGTCCCTCTGTGTCCATCTTGGTGCCAACCACTGTAGGGAGTACGGTTTTTCCGTCTGCCACCACTGGTCTTGTCCCACCGCCGCTGCCACCACTGGTCTTGTCCCACCGCCGCTGCGCCAGCCCCAATTAACACACCGAGACTCTGTATTAGATACAATTCTGTTGGCCAGTTACTTGTTTCTTATCGGCTAGCACTGTCTTAATTATTAACCCATTTCTATGTATTTCCACGTGGTTTCCTTACCGGGGAGTGGGGCAGGCATCTGGTCTCCCCGGTCTCTCCATCTTGACTCTCCTTCCTCCTTCCTCTTTCCTCCTTGTCTCCTAGTCCCTCCTGTCTAGCTTTCCTATTGGCCAACAGTGCTTTATTCATTAACCAGTATGAGAAATATACAGAATGACATCCCCCATCATCCACTGTATTGGACAGGCAGAGAAACCAAGTTAACACAGTTAACTCATTAAGTAATAAAAGACATTTTGCTTTTGCATCAGAATGGGTCTCTTGGTGATTTGGGGGTTCAGAATTTGGGCACAACAGTTTTAGGATTTCTTTTTAACTTGTGTGTATGAATGTTTTATGTGAATGTATGTATATGCACCACATGTGTGCAGGGCCAGCAGAGGCCAGAAGGTGTTGGAATTCCTAGGACTGGAGTTATAACTGGTTGTGAGCTGGGAACTGGAAACTGAACTTGGGTCCCCTGCAAGAACCACAGAAACATCTTTCAAGACCTCAGAGCCAAGCTCTTAGCTATTTGCTATTATCCAGCTGTCATTTGGTCCTCCTATCTCAAGACTTTCATTTCTAAATGGGTTGTGCCAGAGACTGGACACAGCGCAACCTCACTGGCCCCTCACCTGTATTTGTACCAACAGATCCAACTGGCTCACTACACAGGCAGCCCAGCTCACACACATACTGTCCCCCCCCACTCCTGTACCTAAGTGTCTCTAACTTACTTTTTACTAGCTGAGGCATCATCATCCCTCGACGTCTTCCCAGTTTCTTTCCCACTCTCCTGGGTTCCCTACATATCCCAAATTTAGTCTCACCACAGCATGGTTTGGCCAGGATGCACTTTCCCAAATTCTGGGATGACAAGCTTTCATCATCAAGGCTGTTTCTTAGTGCTTGTTGGGTGAGCACACTTCCTGCCATGGCCTAAAGCTCTTTGTCCCTCTTCTTCCTCCCTTGTGATTTCTTACCCACCTTGTCCCCTTGTCTACACTTTTCCTTTCTGCTCAGTCATGTCTCCTTGCTCCTTGCCTGGCCCTTGGGTTCCATGTACCCAGTTGGTGTGTGCTCCAAAGGGCATGGTGTTCCTTGAGGCTTCCCCTCCTGTGATCCACAGTAAGGGTGGTTTGAATAAGAATGGCCCTCATAGGATCACATATTTGAGAACTGTTTGAAAGGATTACAAGCTTGTTGGAGGAAATGTGTCACTGGAGGTTTTTGTTTTCTTTTGAGACAGGGTTTCTTTGTGTGGCCCTACCTATCCTGGAACTAGCTCTGTAGATCAGGTTGACCTCGAATTTATAGTGAAAGACTTAAACTAGCAAAGAAATGAAATGAAGACCAAATAATTGGAATTGCTAACCACTGGCCCTAAAATAGCAGGATACCAAGAAATCACATTGCCCCTTCTTTCAGTGAGTCAGCAGGTGGTAAATAGGGTCCTTAAGAAACAAGAGATAGCTGCAACTCCAGTTTGCCCAGACAAGATTAATTAGCACACCCTGAGGCCCTAAGGTCTGCTGACCCTAACAGCAAGACCATCTGGCCTCAAAGGGTCAGTACTCAATGGACAGAGGGTCATACCCCCTCCCTAAGCTTGTGGGTTTTGCCTTTAAAAACGGCTGTGCCTGGAGAATGACACTTCTCTCTAGCCTGCATGCTGAGGGAGCCCGTTTGCACAAACGTTTCCTGTTCATTAAAGCCTCTTGTGTATTGCATCAACTGGACAGGCCATTGAGTTCTTGGGGGTACCCACTGAAACTGGGAGACTCCTCATTCTGGAAGGAGGGCTGGGATTCAAGTCACACACTACCACTTCTGGGTGGCATTGAGGTTTTAAAAGCCCACACCACATTTGGTCTCCCTGCTTATGAATCAGGGTGTAGCCTTTTAAACTATTTTTCCAGCACCACTAAAGCCTACCACCATGCTCCCTGCCATGATAAAGGACTAAGCCTCTGAAACTGTAAGCCAGCCCCCATTAAACACTGATTTTTCTAAGAGCTGCCTTGAAGAGCTTCCCAGCAATACAACAGTAAGTAACTAAGACAACAGGGATCATCCTAGCCATCAGTGGCCTGCTCACCACCCATTCTCACTTCTTTCTAGTGCTCTTCAGGGCTGTGACCATCCACAGGAGGTGGTCCCATGCTGTGACAGGCTGAGGCTGCCATCTTGGCTTCAGAAGAGATGGTGGAATTGGAAGGGAAGGTGCTGAGTTCCAGCTCATGCCCAGGACAAGGGTGCTCTCTGACACCAATGGCTGTCACTTTGCTCTGTTTGTCCATTCCCAGGGACACAAAGAACTTCATTGTGAACCCAGAGTGCTAGAAAAGACTCCATTCACTGACCCAAATGTATTTCCCAGGATCACCTGCCTGAGGGTCCCAATTGGTCTTAGAAAACACTCATTTTCCTTTAATGATTCATACCTCTCAGCTGCTGCCTCCCTTTCTGCCACCATCCTAGGTTCCTGTTGTCCTGCTCATTCCTAAGTAAGCATCAACACATTCCTAAGCATCAACACTTTACACAGGGCTGCTGGTTTTTATCCCCACCCACCTCTGGGCTAAGGACCCTCATCCCAGCACTGCCATGCATCTCGCTACTCTGCAAACATCTCACTCCAATAGTTGACAGGGTCTTAGGTGTCCACCAACTAAGATATGTGTCCCCTGGTTCCAGTATCACCTAACCATCTCCATGGAAAGTACCCTCACTTACCAAAGTATGTGGGTATCAAGCTGAATGTCACCCCACTGATCCCTTTCGCATCGGCTTTCTGGAGCTCCCACAGCCTGGCTCTTCTCTTTGACTTCCCGATGTATTTGGCCAGGGTTTCTGCTAGACTCTTACTGTATGCCTGGGAAGGGTGGTGGGGGGAATCGGCATTACTCTGTGAAACATTAGATGGGTAGGGAGGAGGCTCGTCAGGGGCTTTGGTCTGCAGGCCCGCCGGTTCCATATCTCTTTTCCTTTGTCTGTGTCCTCCACCTTTCATATTGCAGCCCTTTGTTGAGAACTTTCCTGGGGACAGACAGCCGACTTGTCCAGATCTCTTCTTCAATATAGGACGCATTGTTGCCCAACCCAGAAATATTCAGGGTCCCAGGCGCAAGAGCTTCGGCTCTGATTCCAAGCTAGGAGACTCAGCCTGCTTGCTCCTCGAGCTAAGTCCGGGCATGGGAATCCTGGAAGAGTTTGTGATCTTCTGGAACTCCTGGCAACCCTTCTCACAGAGCTGAGACGGCACAATGAGGCTTCTAGCCTACACTGCCCTCTCCCAATGGCTCTGCCGCTGGAAGCCAGCGGGTTCCTGTAGACGGCGCTATGGAGCAGACACCAGGCTTAGAGGTTTGTTGCAAATCAAGTTTTGCAAAAGGTAACAGAACTTGCTGAGCGAGTAAGTCCCGTTGCCATAACTACAGATGCTCTGAACTGATTGGCTGAGAGCTTCCACGTGCTTGAAGCCCTCGAAGGCAGGCGAAAACCCGGAAACTGGGAGTGTCACTTAGCCCCAGGCTGGCTAAGTGATAGCCCCTCCTGTAAGGTAGCCACACCTTCTTGTGACTTCTGAATATGAAGTGAAAAGTCCCCCTATTTTGTTGTTTTCTGGCAGATCTCCCCATCTTCACTTTTCTCATTCGAAAAGTGTGCTATATTCCCTTGGGCTGTGAGAACGCTAGGCGGTCAAAGTCAAATAAAAGACATATTTGGGACTTTAATTGGGTGCAAAGGTTTGGAATCACAGTTAAGGTGGCACACACTTATATCCCACTGCCCAGAGACAGGCAGGAGGACAGGCATAAGTTTGAGGCCAGCTTGTGTTACATGATGAGTCCCAGGCCAGCCAGAGATACACAGTGAGAACCTATCTTTAAATATCAAAACCAGAAACAGACCCGAGAACCAGTCCTCATAATAACCCTTTGAAATGTCCACCAAAGCGTGAAATATGGAGTGTGCATGCAAAGACACATGAAACACTGACACATACTATAAGGACTCCAGTTAATGAAAGGAGCCAGATTCAGAGACCTCACACTGTAGGGTTCTGTTTATATAAAATGACCAGAACAGGCAAGTCTACAGACATACAGTCAGCTCCTGGTGACCACGGGGGAGAGGGAGGGATATGATGATTAACTGTTACTAGAATGGGGTTTCCTGTTGGGTGATGGGAATGTCCTGGAATTAGCTAGCAATAGTGACTGCACAGCTCTGCATATGTGCTAAAAACAAAAACAAAAACGACTTAATCGAACACTTGAAATTTTGTTTTAAGTGGCCAGGTATGGTGGTACACAGGAAGATCTCTAAATTGGAGGTCAGCCTGGTCTATAGAGATCCTGTCTCATCTCAAACAGTTATTTTGTACTGCTGGGCACTGAGCCCTAGGCCTTGTGCATGCCAGGCAAACACCACTGTTAAACTACATCTCTGACCCTAAAATAGTCATTACTAAACTTTATGTCAAAAAACAAAGATCTACATTTGAACAAGTTCTCTATGCTGGGGACTGCCTTCACCAGATGTAACATCTTCCTAACCCTCTACAACCTGAGAAACTCGTGTCACTTAAACCCAAAACCATGAGAACAAGGCACAGGGTCCCACTGAGATGAGGAAAGGCATGGAGGCCCAGTGATTTTATCTGCTGAAAGGGAAGAGGCTGACCTGGAACTCCAGCAACCAGCCAGACAGAGGTGCCCTCCTAGGTGACTGGGGAGGGGGCCTTGTCCTGCAGCCTTACCAGTAGCTGATGATGGAGAATTTTGCTCTACCATCCAACCTTAGCTGTGGCCTGGATATCTCTATACTCTGAGCTGCTTGTGCCGGGGTGTCTGCCCTCACACTTACCCCTTTTTTTCTCTTCCATTACTGTTTGCACCGTTATCTCATCCTAGGAGGTCTCTACAGGCCTTTTCATCTTTTTGCCTCTCCCCAGCATAGGGCTCTGCACTTGTGTGAGCTGCTGTGATGCCTGTGAAAAAGTGATGGGTTACTGTGAAGTGGAAGGGGAGGTGTGGCCAGCTGTCCCGTTCTTCTGTCAAACTGCACCTCTCTTTACTTTATGTATACTTATTATTTCCATGTATGCATGCACACTACCCGTGTGCCTGGCGCCAGAGGAGGGCAACAGCTCCCCAGGAGCTGCGATTCTTGATGGGGATGCTGGGAACTGAACCTGACTACTGTTACCGCTGAGTCATCTCTCCAACCCCAGCATCCCTCTTTAACAGCTGCCACTTGTGCACCAGAGGGGAAAATCAATTAGCCTGCATCATAGCACATCTGTCTGTGAACATGCTGTCCCACGACAAATGGCCTCCTGACAGTTGGTTTACTCTGCCTTCATTCGATTTAATTTTCAGACTAAACCTTAGAATGGCAATTGGCAATTAAGACTTAATAATTTAGGACTTCATTTGGTGATTTCTAAGGCAAATGCTTTGAGGTTAGAACCATGACACTACAGCACCTGTCATGGAAATGGCATTAACAGCAAAAGGTCCCACTCTTAACTGGGAGAGGAGATGAGGTTTCATAAAGGATTGGGCTTAAGGGAGTGAGTTGCAAAGGAGCCACAGGCAGACAGATGTTCACATCCTCACAGTGGTGCTAAGGTCAAATCCAAAGTTCCTAAGAGCCAGTGTGAGTGGCCAAGAACACATGATGCCAAAGGGACCTTCCTTTTTAATAAAAACATTTTTATTAATTACCTAATACACTGTGAAACCTATTTGTACATCAGGTCTAAAGAATTCCATTAAACACGGATGGACAGTGGTGGCACACACCTTCAATCCCAGCACTCTGGAAGCACAGGCAGGCAATCTCTGAGTTCAAGGCCAACCTGTTCTACAGAGCTAGTTCCAGAACAGTCAAGGCTACCGAGATGCCCTTTCTCCAAAAAACAAAGAATTCCATTAACAGGACAACCAGTCACTTCTCCAAACATAGTTTTATTTAGTCTAGCAAGTCTTGATACAGAGTTTTGATGTATAGCCAAGACTGCTTTCACACTCACATAAGCCAGGGTGCCTTGAATTCACAGTGGCCCTCCTGCCTCAGCATCCCAAGTGCCCGGATTATGTATATGCTTCACAATGCCCATCTGATTTCTTACTGTGTGTGCCATTGGTGGATCTCCCCATGTAGCCCAAGTTATCCTAGAAACTACAATGTAGCCCAGGCTGGCCTTAAACTTGATTATGATCCTCTCCAGACTCCCAAGTGTTAGGATTATAGTAGTATACTATCATGATTGGCATAGGTGAGCCTTTGTTACTGGATACATTAGAAAATATTTTGTTAATAAAAAATGGGATGAAATATTATGCATTTTGAGTAGATGTTTGCCTTGAGGAGGGAGAGGTATAATTTAATTTTCAAATTATATCTTAAAATAGTGTTTAGTAATCAGGACTTAATTTTTCTGTTTTTTTTTTAATACCTATGTACACAGAAGCCACACATGCCAGAAGAGGGTGTCAGATCCTTAGGAGCTGTTGTTAAAGGCGTTGTAAGCTGTCTGCTAAGGGTGCTGAAAACTGAACTCTGGAAGAGCACCAAGCATAAGAAACCATTGAGCTATCTCTCTGCAGACCTTTTTTTTTTTTTTTTTTTTTTTTTTTTTTTTTGGGTTTTTTTGAGACAAGGTCTCTCTGTGGCTTTGGAGTCTGTCCTGGAACTAGTTCTTGTAGACCAGGCTGGTCTCAAACTCAGAGATCCGCCTGCCTCTGCTTTCCGAGTGCTGGGACTAAAGGTGTGCACCACCACTGCCTGGCATTCCAGGCCATTTCTTAAAAAAATTTTTATGTATGAAATTAATGTGTGTGTGGTGTGTGTTCAAGTGAAGGTCACAGGCCAATCCACAGGAGTTGGTTCTGGGGATGGGATTCAGGTCCTAAGGCTTAGCAACAAGTGACAATTGACTTTATTTACTGAGCCACTTCCCTGTCCTGTTTGTTTTCTTATACTCTCTATGAAGTATAAGCAGGCGTCAACTTTCCATCCTCCTGCCTTAGTCTCCTGAGTGTTGGGATTACAGGTGTGTACCTCTATGTGTTGGTCAATTTAGTTTTTATTTAGTGTTTTCTTTCTAAGGTAAATGCCTCATTATTTAAATCATAACACTGTGATATCCATAAGAATGGCAGGTTCTTTCTTCATATGACAATTGTACACTCCAATATCACTTTGTACAGGAAGAGGACACATGTTTCCTCAGCAGGAGTGCTGCTGACGGACTTTGAGCACCAAGGCATTGTTCATCACTGGAAAAACTCGGCACACTTTTAGGACCATTACCCCAGTTACCTTTTCAAATTCAAAACATGTCTGCAACACTCACTGACAAGATCTACTTGTGGCAGAGGCTTAAGACACACACTGACTTCTAACAAAATGAAAAAGTCTACATGCCTGGGAAGGGGGCTCACTGCACATCAGAGGCTCTTAGAAACAGAAGCACAAAGCAATGCACAGAACACTTCAAACAGGCTCTTTTAAGACAGACTTAATTTTTTATGATTTTCCCAAAGCCAGTCATGGTATTTATTTAATTTGTGGTCTTCAGGGTGCACCTGGAAGAAAGCAACATATCAGTCATAAACATGTTTAAAGGTTTGGTGAGGGAGTTTATCATGATAATGTGTCTGAAATAAACAGGGAACTTGAATCCAGTAGCAACCATGACTGTCTACAATTATACCTTATATGACAGAAATCCTACATTTTATTTATTTATTTATTGTGCAGTGTTCTGTTTATATGCCTGCTGAAGGCCAAAACAGGGCACCAGATCTCATTACAGATGGTTGTGAGTCACCATGTGGTTGCTGGGAATTGAACTCAGGACGTCTGGAAGAACAGCCAGTGTTCTTAAGCCCTGAGCCATCTCTCCCGCCCCATAAATCCTGCATTGTTTACAAAGTACTTTCCAGTTCAGGACTAACTCAGACCTGGAGCAGAGTGCAGTGATAACATGAGTCAAGTGTTAACACCAGCTTTTGGAAGGTTACAGACCTTGTGAGGCCAAATGGATGGCTCTGTTGGTGAAGGAGGAGGACTATGGCCCTTCAGCCTGGGTTTCTCCAGACCTCAGTGACTTAATATGTTAGGGTGAGAGGGCAGCATGCCAGGATACTCTCCAGCCACCAGGCTGCCATCACAATGCTCCTGTGCCATGCACAAGCAGAATGGGTAGTGGAAGCTGGGCGTTGGTGGCACACGCCTTTAGTCCCAGCATTCGGGAGGCAGAGGCAGGCGGATCTCTGTGAGTTTGAGACCAGCCTGGTCCACAGAGCGAGTACCAGGACAGGCTCCAAAGCCACAGAGAAGTCTTAAAAAAACCAAAAGAAAAGAATGGGTAGTGGACTAGGACCCGGATCCACACTCTAGTCTGAGATACAAGGAGAAACCTGACAATTAGACACTCAAAGTGCAAATATTTTCTCTCCTGTGAAGGATACTGTTTTTGGTATGTGTGCGCAGGCACAAATAGTGCATGTGTGAGGTCAGAGGATTCAGGCACCTTCTCCCTTCAGAAAAGAAGTGAAATTTTACTAGTTGTGCCTATCAGGCATGTCTGTGCAGGTCAGAGCACAAGCTTTCAGAGCCAGGTCTTTACTTCCAGGGACGGAGCTCAGGCTGCCAGGCTCGTGCAGCAAATATGCTTACTCGCTAAGCCGTGTCCCTGGTCCACCTTCCACTTTTTGTTTGAGAAAGGGTCTCTCACTGGCCTGGAACTTCACCACACAGGCCAGGCTATCTGGTCCACAAGCTTAGACAGGTCTACCCATAAGCTTCCAGGCACCCTCCTGTTTCTGTCCCAACACAGCTGGACTGTGGTTGCACGCTGCCCTGTCTGGCTTTTATGTAATTTCTGGGATCTGAATTCAATCTTCAGGGCAAGCACTTTACCAGCTAAGCCCAGATCTACGGGCCCCTTTTAACAAGAAGAAGCCCTGTTGGTGTTAGAGATAGAACAAGGATGGGAAAAGACAGCAATAGGGTCTGGAGTGATAGACTGCTCAAGTCAGTAGAGGCCAGAGCAAAGGGACTTGAGCAGCACCCAAGGAGTCTCTCCTACAGTTCATAACCTCATGTCCCTGCTGCTCCTTGAACTGTGGGCAAATCTGCTTGGGACCGCAACAGGGCTCATGTCTTGTATATCTAGGCATACTGGTTGAATTACTTTGTCCTGGAGGCAAATGTGCTGGTTATGTTATGGTTGGCAGTGGACTTACCTGCTTCCACTCATTGACACAAAAGATCCGGTAGGAGTCGTTGCCGTATTTACCAATCCCATGAAGCTCAATCGGATACCTCCACTGCTTTGTCAGATATTCATCTGAAGACACACACCCCACACATGTGGTCAGCCTCCAGGAAGTCACTTTCCCTACACTCGTAATGGGGTAGCACCCTTATCACCTGCCTCCTCCTAACCACTCTTGTGCTTTGCTAACTAGACAGAGGAAGCAACTTCCTGCTTCTATGTATAGGGTTACTTCAGTGTTGGGCAAAGATTTATGGTTTGGGTCAGCAGGAGTCTGTGGTGTGGGACAAGCAGGCTGTTTTAAATGTCTTTGGTGCTTGAGCTAAATGACCTCAATTAATAGAGCATCCAAGGGCATTAAAGTTTAAGGTGTGGCTGCCTTCAGTGGGCACAATTTGCTTCTTCCTTTGGGACTAGGGGAACATACCTGAAAACTTGATAATGGTTTTTGCACGGAGATCATAGAGACCAAGAGGCTTGAGAAGTTCTGACACGTCCCTCCAGTCAGCAGTTCGGGCCACCTCAGCTGAAGGGTACTTCTCTAGAAACTCCCAAAGCACAGGGATGGCCATCTTGCCTGAGAAGCAAACAATGGGAGACATGTCTTGGGAAGGGTTGACTTCGTGTCCAGGTAGTTTCTCATCTAGGAACTTCAGGCAGAAGCTTTCTTGTTACTGTGTTTGTGGTGCTGGGAATGGAATCGGGGTGCTGAGCATGCTGAGCAAGGGCTCCACTGACCTAGTCCAACTGGCCTACTTTTCAAACCACTAGATCACCAGATAATTACTATATGTATTCAGAGAACACAGAGAGCTTCCAAGCAGGATAGATGGATGGGAAAATATCAACTGTCCCTCCACTGATGACTGAAGCTAATCTAAGGAAATCAGAGACCACCTGGCCCTCAGTATGTAAAAGGATGTTGGCTGTCATCCAGTCTAACTTTCCTATAGGTGAAGAGCTCTGCAGGCTGAAAAGGAAAGGGTGTGTCCAGTATCACAAATTCAGAACAGACCATGAACCTAGGCCTCTTACCCAGTTTGGTTCTCTCCCTCCTCACCAGGACATGATGACAATGACCCACAAACCTGAGGTCCGATTGAGAAATATAGTTGCAATGAGGAGTTTCCATGGATCGTGGAAAAGTGTTTCTTGAACAAGATTAAAAGGTGACCGAGGAGGAGTCCATTTCTTAAAGGCTTTTCGTCTTGGGGGGCTAAGAGCTACAAAAACACAGGAATGTGAAACGTATATTCATGAAAGATTTGGGACACCCCACCCCACCCTGTGCTGCCCTGGAAGGGCGAGTACCTTCTTTGTTGTACTTGCTGGAAAAATACAGGCTTGTTTTCCTTTTTTCTACTTGTGTTCGTGGGATGCTGTCTTCTGAAAAGAAAATTTAGAGAATCTATGATTTATGAAAGGGTAAGGAAGGTGGATAGAGTTTGAGGTTAGTCAGGGAAACACAACCACTTACAAAAATTATTCTAATTCTACTAATACCCTAGTATCAGCTGGGCATTATTTTATCTCCACTTTGTATATAAGAAAACTGAGGCACAGAGAAGCTGAATGAGCCCTAGGCCACAAGCTAGTGTGAGAGCTGCAATGGAAGTCCAGGCAGTCTAGTTCAAAAGCCTGCACCCTTTATAAGTGCGCTACGATTTACATGGCCAGCTCACAGTATGGAAAAACTACAACAGTATGACATTCTAATGTATTTGTATGATGTGGTCATTAAAATGTTTGACACTCTTTCATGAATACTTTCCCACTGACATTTATTTCTAAAAGAAGAGTCAAGATTCTACATATGATCCCAATTTTAAACACAGATTCATATGTGTTTGTATGCATACTCACATAGAGACACTGAGAATAGAATTCAGATGGTATAGTGGTTCTTTTCTTCTCTAATTGTATGCACTTTTCAAAGGTTTTGCAGTTGTGTTCACCAAAAGGGTAGAACACAGGAGAGGCTGAGGAAGAGATGTGAACTCAAGATTCTGTCTCAAAAAACAAAACAAGGGCCTAGAGAAATGGCTCAGCAGCTTGGAGCACTTGCTGCTCCTTCAGAGGCCCAGAGTTTAGCTCCTAGTACCAATGTCGAATGGCTCACAACTGCCTGTAACTCCAGCTTTAGGGGATCTAAGATCTTCTTTTGGCCTCTGTGGGAAGCCACATCTGTATGGCATTCACACCCACTCAGCCACCTACATCAATACAAAATAAAAATTTTAGCCAATGTTATCAGACCTTTCAAGTTTCTACAACTGTCCTCTATTTAAATGGTCATACTTCATACTCCCTTTAGCCACACCCTCTGAATATCAGTTACTAATATCTTACATTTGTATATTGTAGAACCACCTTTTTACACTTATTTTTACTGCACAACTACTATTTTGTTACTGTTTTGAGACAGTGTCTCATGTAGTCCAGGCTTGCCTCAAGCTTGCCATGTTACTGAGGATGGCCTTGAACTCTTGATTGTTCTATACCTAACTCCCAAGTGCTAGGACTACAGACATGTAACACGATACTCAGCTACCTTATAATAATCTGTTTTTAATTTATGTGTGGGTACCTGTGGAGGTCAGTGAAGGGCATCAGATCCCTTGGAGCTGGAGTTACAGACAGAAGCTGCATGACATGGGTGCTGGGAACTGAACTGCCCTCTGCAAGAACAAGATAACTGCTGAGCTATCTCTCTAGCTGGTTTCTTTGGTCTTGATGTGAAAAATGGGACTAGTTAGGGTTACTGCTTAAATTCTCAGAAACTAAGGCTTAACAATTAAATAGTTGCCAAAAAATGATACTAGGGTTGACTAAATACTGCAATAAATCTCCAGGTCTCTACATAATGATGTCAATGCCTTTTTCTATTCTAGTTTGGGCAGGTAAAGCCCAGAAGAAACTATGAAACAGAACAAAAGAAGCTGATTTTATGGAAACTTATGTTTATTATAGGTTCCCATACATAACTACCTAGCCTCCTTTACTACCTGTTGGCTTGATACTTCTAGCCAAGCAATTTTCTACTGAGTACCTAGTAAGCCAACGGTACACCCTCTTACACAGAGAACTACATTTCAATATAGGATGAGTTGAATACATCCATATTAGTCAAGGGAGGATGCTTCTAATATTTAACCTGCCTGTTATAATAGCAGTAAATCCATATGACCCAATGCTTTCTTTAAGAAGCTCAAAGGACATACACTGAGGAATTCTTAACTATTCCCTAGGTATATGTGGCCATCTCCTGTTAAAGACACAGCAATCCCAGACACAGAGAAGATTCACCATTATGGATGGACTGAAAGCAGAAATCAAGTGTTACCCTGGTTCCACCAATCTGTGCAAGCTGTTTCCCTAAAGGAGTCTCAGTAAAATTAAAATCACTACTCTTCTCTAAGGGGGTTATTCATTATGTCATAACAGCGTAATGAATAACCAGAGCTGCTTGGATCTTTTATCTATTATTCACCGAGGCACTGTATAGGCAAGACTGCCAAGCCCTGGACTCTGTGTGAAGAGCACAGTACAAATAATACATGAAGTAAGCAATTATACTTTTGAATTATTGAGAGCTCCCAGGTCTCTTAGAGAAGCGCCAGGCTGTAATAGACGATAAAAGACTGTGATATAGATGGAATTAAATTGGGAGTCACACATCAGCAGTACAGGAGGGGCGGGGGATATGCTGGCTACTGTTGGTCAGTTTATGTATAAAAGTAGTCTTATTTACATTCTTCACAGAGAAGCCTTTTAATTTTCCTTACAATCTTAAGATTGCTGTCTAGAAAGAGGATGGCAAGTGGGGAAATCTCTGCCTCCCAGCTGCTGCCCAGGAGAGGTGGGAGCAGCCACGATACACTGGGCTTCCTTTGCTGGGCTTCCTGGCTTTAGCCAGCTGATTCCCTCTCTGCCATAATCAAGGGCTTGATGACCAACTAGCTCAAAGATCAGTTAGGGGATGGGGGTGTGGCTGGGTTGATAAGAGCGCTTGCCTACCATGCATTAGGCCCCAGGTCCCATGCCCAGCATTGCATTAAAAAAGTAGCATCATGGCACATGCCTTTAATCCCAGCACCAATGAGGCAGAGGCAGGAGGATACAATTTCAAAGTTATCTTCAGCTACACAGTGAGAGCCAGGCTAGCCTGGGATACATGAAGAGGTGCCAGGTACTGGGATCAGCTGGGAGAATGTGTTTGACACGTGGTTCTTCTTCACTACACCCCATCTCAAACACATCCAAGCAGGGAATACAGGTTCCCCAGGGCAGCCTGATCACCACACTGTTAGTAGCACTTTCACGTGCCAATACCTTGAAAAGTCTCAGAAGTGACGTGTTTCTTGGCTTGTGAGCAGCCGGGCATTTCAGAGCCGCCCTGTGAAGCGTCCGTATGCAAATGTGCCCCCCTCTCTGGGTCTCCCTTCCACCTGATTTCCTCTAATTCTAAAAAAGTCTGCTCATGCTTCGTGTCACCTGCTTCTTCAGTTGCATGTAATTTGTTTGTGATGCCAGAAGTCCCTTGTGTGGAATGAAGATCTGGTCCTGGACTTGGTGGCTTTTCCTTCCCCAGGCCCTTTTCTTCCCCGGCCATGCTGACAGCCTCCTGGCTTGCGCAGACATCGGCAGGGCAGGGGGTCCTGTTGGGCTGACGTTCCTGTGAACCTGCTTTCTGAATCACAGGTTCTCTTTTTCTGTTACTTTGAGCAGAATCTGAGAGGCTCTTCCTACACCTTTGCTTGGTTTTCTCACTTCCAATTCCTTTCCCAACAGGCACCTTTCTTTTGAGCTTTCTCGTCTTTCTGGGGTTAGCATCATGAATGTGTTCATCTTTCAATAGCAAAACAGAGTTAGACAGTCTGCTGCTACCTGGTGACTCTGAATTACCACTGGGTGGAGACAATACATCTGTTTTCCACTTGCTTCGTGTCCTGAGGTTCCGGTTTGAAATGTCGCTTTCCTTTGGCTGCCGGGAAGTCACAGCTGCCAAACTTTGGCCTTTATAACCTAACCTGATGTCCCCCTTGGACGGCACAGTAAAATCAAAATCTTCAGGCTTAAGGAAAGTCTCTCCATTTTTGAGAAGATAATTAGCAAGTGAACGTTTTGATCTGAACTTCAGTCCTTGTGGGCTAAAAAAAAAAGAAAGAAAAGAAATTAAAGGAAACTTGTACTAGTTAATAGGACCTGTGCATATGGAAGCCTGAAGTTAGAAATCAGGTGTCCTTGCTCACTCTCCAGTGAACCCAGAGCTCACCAATTCTGGCTAGTCTAGCTAGCCAGCTTTCCCTGAGGATTCCCTCCTCTGGTGCTGAGGGCTGGGATTACTGGCAGCTGCCACACCTACTCAGCTTTTCAGATGGGTTCTGGGGATCCGAACTCAGGTCTTGATGCTTGCTTGGCATGTGCCTTACTCCCTGAGCCATTCCCCGGGCCATCAACCTAAGATTCTTACTAACCTTTCCTGTTTTGACTGTACTTTTGTTCCCCCGAGTGCTTACCTGATGAAGTACACATCGTATCTTCCTGCAGTTTTCCCAGACAGCCTTTGCTTCACAACTCTTTTCCATCCATGTGTGATAGGCTCATGGCATTCTGTCACTGCAGTACCACTACACAGATTAGAGGTAGCAGGTTCCTGGAGAAGGGAGCTACACTCATTGCTTATCACAAGTTCCTTTTCATCTTCCACTCTTCCCAGTCCAACGACAACATCCTCCTTGCTGAAAAGACAAAGCCCAAGTGATGAACTCATTTAAAATTTCTTTTACTCTGCTTATTCAATTTCAACCCATGGCAGTACAGAACTACATAAACAACTCAGACCATGGTAGGTAAGTCAGTGAGCTAGTGTTCTGCTGACAGCTTCTTGTCCTCCAACATGGGTTCTTAAATGCTAGGACTCTCAGGACATTGGTGGCCCATGCCTTTGATCCCAGCACTCGGGAGGCAGAGGCAGGCAGATCTCTGGGAGGTGGAGACCAGCCTGGTCTACAAAGTGAGTTCCAGGGCAGTCAGGGTTGTTACACAGAGAAACCCTGTCTTATAAAAAGAAAAGAAAGGAATCTTTGCACAGTAACAGTTCAAGATACCTGCTAATTTTTTATTTTTGTAACCATTCATTCCATGGTTACTCTAAAGGTTTTGGTAACAGCTGGCTTTCACCTGAGATCAGCAGAATTGCTTAGATGGATCAACCCTCTCTCCTGCAAATAAGTGAGGGGAACATTTCACATACATGTGCATTTTTGGAGGAACAATAGCTACCACTTTCATAAAACAGTGTAGCAGCCCCAGCCCCCGTACATGACTTCCAAAAGGTAAGAATTTCCAAATCTTTTGGTCTTTATTTTCATTACTCTGTGAAGTTAAAAGTTATTCTTACTGACACATTATGTGATAATGAAATCCAATCACTTTCAGAACTGATAACAGAACCCAGGCCTAATACTTCTCACTGTGGGGACGATGGGGATCCCTACAAAACCTTCTGTACAGTGTATCCCTCCCAACTTTAAAGGACTTTATCAGGCAGCTTCCTAACAATTCCATGGAGCAATTCTAGCTCCATGGAATCTGACTCCGTCCTCTGGTCCTCCACCAACACTGTGTACAAGGTACAAAGGCACACATAAATAAAAATAAATCTTTAAAAGAAAGTGAGTCTCTAGAGAGATCATTTACCCCCATTTGCTTCCTATAAATAGGGAAACTAAGCAAGAGCTAGTGACTGACTACAGTTAGAACCATGCACTCTGATGGAATTTGGGGTTAATATCAGCTAGAAGAATCTTATAGAGAGACAAGTTAACTGAAACCTGGGGGAAATCACCACAAATTCTTAGGTTAACACACTGGGTGGAAAAGCCAGCTCTGCTATTTAGTATTAGCTGAGCGTCCAAGAGAACCTGGAACTCGCTCTGTAGACCAGGCTGGCCTCGAACTCACAGAGATCTACCTGTCTCTTCCTCCCGAGTGCTGGGATTAAAGGCGTGGGCCACCAACAGTTACCGGCTGGGAAATAATTTTTAAAAAAGTTTTTGTTCCTATTGTTTGCTTTTGAGACAGGATCTTATGTACCCCAGGCTGGCCTTGAACCCACCACGTACCAGAGACTCATCTTCAACTTCTGATCCTCCTTACTCCACAGGACTGTGCCACCAAACCCGGTGCTGCCGATCGAACCCACAGCTTCGTTTGTACTAGTAAACACTCTACCGGTTAAATGCTCAGACCTTAAAGTTGTTTTGAGCGGTCAAATAGGTACATGCAAATAGGTACATCATTTTAGCCCCGATACAACAGTAGCTTCCTCTGTGACTTTTCATATGACCGTTTCTGAGATGCCCCTGGGCGTTGAACGCACCATTTGCCCCAACTTCTTCCTAAGCTCTTCCGATCCAGGCTAACATCCTTGCATCACAAAACCTCCCTTGACCAAGCTCCCCAGTCAATTCGGCCAAGGAATCGTCCCACAGGGACGACAGCTCCATGTGTCTGTCACCTTGTGTTGAAGGTTAGAAAGATGACCGACATGGGAGCGATTCCCCTGCTCCCATTCTACAGATGGTGAAACTGAGGCTCGAGAGGGGTTAACAACTTGCCAGAGGTCCCCAGGCAGGTCTGGAACTAGGCTCTCTCTGGGGGTGATGGAGGGGACTGAGCTGTCCCCAAGGTTTGGGCTCTCCATCCCTGTTGCTGTGGTCCACTGGGCCGCAGCTGCAGCTCCAGGCCGAGAGGCGAAGTTGAACACAGCACAACACACTGGGTGGGATTCAAAGACTGCCAGCAAAACTCGTCAGTGCCCCCAGCTGCTTTTCCGCCGCCACGTGAGCCACAGCCGCCTTGGCCATGGTCCCGCCAATCAAACCCTCCGTCGGCCAGAAGCCCGCCCCACCTATCTTCCATGACCAATCGCGAGTGTCATACTTCCGCTTCCGCCTCCTGCCTCCCTGAGCGCTCGGCGCTTCAGCAGCGGAGCCAGGCTCCCTTTTGGACATGCGCACTTAGAGCTCTGCGCACTCTCGCGCGGCTCATTGCGCATGTGCGTTGCCAAGGGTAGCGCAGGCAGCCGAAGTGGTTTGCGGAGAGAAGCCTGTTGCTGTCGAGGCAGGGAGGAGGGGCCCGAAGCGTGAGGGGAGCGGCGGGCGATGAGGGCCGTGTTGACGTGGAGAGACAAAGTGGAGCAATGGTGAGAAGCGGGGCGCTCCGGGATGGCGGGGGAGGTGGCGGGAACCGGCGCGTTGCCATGGTAACGGGCCTGCGGCCTGGGCCGAGCGCTCTGATGCTGCGTCTCTAACTCCTCAATGGAAAGAGAAACCCAGATTCCTGGAGGGGGGACTTGGGGACCATCTGAGGGTGGCGGTCTCCTGGAGCGGTTTACACGGCATGCTCCCTTTCTCAAAATCCCTGCGGACTTTTCTCGCCCACCACATGTTTCCTCAGCTTCCTAACCTGTGATACATCTTCCAAGTGCCCAGAGTTTGGTTCCCTGACATTTTTCAGTTTCTTTACTTTTTTTTTTTTTTTTTTTTTTTTTTTTTTTTGAGACAAGGTCTCACTTTAAAGCTCTTACTGGCCTGCAACTCACTACGTTGACCAAGCTGCCATTGAACTCACAGAAATCCGCCTGCTTCTGCCTCCCCAGCGCTGGGATTAAAGGTGTGCACCACCGTGTTCAGCCTACCTTATTTTTATTTAAACATGCTTTTATGCAGAAAATTATTCCATGTATGAAAAATCAATATCATTTGCCCTAAGTGCAATAACTAAAACATTTAAGCAAGAACAAACATGACAGTGTGAATAACTTGCATCTAGGTAGTTAAAAGGGAGTGTTTCCACCTAAGGGGAACTGTTTCTACCTGCTTTACTGTGTCTCAAGTGGGACATTCCCATGTAAGGTCAGAGAGACATGTAAGATGAGCATCAGATAAAGACATTCTCCTGATTAGAAAGCTTGAAAACGGCTTAGAAAAGTTTAGTTCCAGGCCAGGCAGCGGTGGTGGCTCACGCCTTTATCCCAGTACTCAGAAGGCAGAGGCAGGTGGATCTTTGTGAGTTTGAGGCCAGCCTGATCTACAGAGTTAGTTCCAGGACAGACTCCAGAGCAATACAGAGAAACCCTGTCTAAAAACCCAAAAAAAAAAAAAAAAAAAAAAAAAAAAGGTTTAGTGTATACTTTCTGCACAAGTATGAGGACCAGGATTCTAACCCTAGCATCTCCTATAAAAGACAGGTATAGTCCTATCCAAGCCTGTAATACTGCTACAGAGGGGAATCAAGAGGATGATTGTTGGGGTTTGCTAGCTACCAGCTTAGCTGGGGGAGACGTTAAGGGAGAAAGAGGACACCTGATGCCCTCTGGCCTGTGCAGAATGCACACACATACACATACACACACACACACACTACATACAGGCATATAAAAATAGTTTGAAAAAGGATGGAAAGAAAGCTAGGCCCAAGCCTGTAATCCCAGCACTTATAGAGGAGAAAGCAGGAGTATTGGGAGTTCAAAGTCAACCTGGGCTCTATGAGACTGTGTCTCAAAAAAAACAAAAGAAACTGGATTGGGAAATGCCTGATCGGGTACAGGAACTTGCTGCCCAGTGATGGAATCAGGTTGAAGGAGTCAGCTAGCTCCACAAAGTTGTTCCACCACCACACCAGTGCCATGGCCTGTGTCCCCATATCATGTACACACACTGTTACACATAAATAGTAAAAAAATGACTGCCATAGAAGGACGCAGAGGCAGGAGAACCTCTGTGAGTTGAGGCCAGCCTGGTCTATAGAGAAAGTTCCAGGATCACTAGGGCTACACCAAGAAACCCTGTCTTGAAAACCAAAATAAATAAATGAGTAGTATAAAGCGTTTTGTAAAAGAAAATGACAGTAGAACAACTTTGCCATCTTAATAATTCAGTGCTATCTGATGTCTACTATTTTGTCACCAAAATTCATCAGCCAAGAACCATTTTGGGCTTATTGAATAGTTCTCAGCCTAACTCAGAATCTTCCTAGATGGTCTGTTGGTCGTCACACTACTCTGTCTGTCCTGAGGCCTTTCTGTGTGTGACGTTGAGATCCTAAATACCCCTCAAGGCTTGCTTTGGAGGGACTTGTACAAGTAACAACCCAATGCTGAGTTGGGCCAGACATTGCCTAAGAACTTTGTGTCCTTTACCTATTGCCTCTTCACAGCGGCTCCGAGGGAGGTACAGTAATTACCTCCATTTACAGCAAGGAAACTGAAATATAGCAAGGGTAGATTAGTGTGTGAGGTGGAGTCAGCCTGCCAGCTCAGATTGCCCCATTTCAAAGCCAATTCTTCCAGCCTCTACCTTTAATTTCAGTCAGGCAAGTCATGTGAAGAGGCTGTACTTAAATATAAGGAATTTCTGTTGTTTGCAGGACAGTCTCCTGTACCCTACTTGACCCATGTCACCTTGCCAGCATCTTTCATTGTAATGAAATTCTCTTTGGAGGTGAGCAGTAGAATGCTCAGCAGCTGGAGGTGCTTGCTGCCAAGCCTAATGACCCTGGCTCCATCCCTAGAACTCACTCAGTGAAAGGGGAGAACCAACTCTTGCTAGCTGTCCCTCTGACTTCCAGAAGCTCCCCACAGTACACATGCCCCCAATAAATAAAAGTTTAAACATTAAAAAAATGTTTTTGGTCTTCCTTTTTTGAGATGGTCTCCTGTAATCATGCTGTTAATCTAGCACTCAGGAGGCAGAGGTAGGTGGATCTCTGTAAGTTCAAGGCCATCCTGATCTATAGAGTGAGTACTAGCACAGCCAGGACTATATAATGAGACCCTATAGTGTCTTTCTCAGAAAGCAGAAACAAACAAACAAAAAGAGCACCCACAGCACAAGCTGGCGATAATTAGCAACCAAACATTTGGCTTCTGTGTCAGAGAGCAATAGGGAGTGGCAAGAGCTATGGCAAACTGGAAGGCTCACAATCTGCATGAGAGGGGCAGCTGCTGCTCTGCTCCTGCCAATTACCACTGCGTAGGAATTTGGCCTGGTGTGTGCAGATCTTCCTATTTTTACCAGAAGCTAGGAATCCGCGTTTTAAATGTGAAATGTCCTAATTTTTAAATGTTGGCACCTAATTAGAAAAAAACAAAGTAAAACACCATGTGGGCCAAGCAAAACATTTGCTGGTCAAATGCAGCCTGATCTGCTCTGTTCTCAACCCCTGGCACAGAATTTGGTTCATTCTGCTCTTGTGGTACTTAGAGTCTGTTGGGTGTAAGAGTTATGTTTTAATCTGTTTATCCCAGAAGTCTACAAACCTTGTAAAACCAATGGCTATATCTTATTTCCAAATGTTTCTGGAGCCTGTAACTATCTGGTGAATAGATGTGTGTGAGTATGAATGCATACCAAGTGAATGAACGACCAATGAAGACTGCTTATCTGGCTATCACAGATTTGAAACAATCTATTAGAATAGGAGGTGCAGAGGTTCTATAGACCAGCGGCCTGATGATGTCTACATGTGCAATGGAATGGTGGAATGGAACAAAACAGAACAAAGCTAACACCTAGATAGTAGATCCACCAATCCCAGATGCCCCTGACTCACCCCCAGCCAGCCATGGGCTCCTGCTCTCTGCTTTTGCTTCTGGTCTGTCTTTGACCCAGCAGCAGAACTCACTCAGGACCTGCTGCTGTGATTCTGTCACTCTGCTCCTCACAAACCCAGGGTGACCTCTTTTGTGTCAAATTGTACATTTTGCTGGGTGGTCCCCTGGCCTCCTTCCCTCTAGGCTTGCTAACATTTAGATTTGTGTTTTGGAGCTTAGCCAAAGGCTCCATTTTCCTACCCGAAGATCCTCCTGAACTGACTCCTTCCCTCCCTCCCTCCCTCCCTCCCTCCCTCCCTCCCTCCCTCCCTCCATCCCACTTCCCTCCCTCCCTCTCTCCCTCCCTTTCTTTCTTCATGTGTGTACACATGTGTATGCAGATGCATGCACATGAGGAGGTTAGAGGTTGACATTGGGTATCTTTGTCTATTTCTGTCCTCCTTATTATTCATTGTTTATTTTCTATGTTATGTATATGGCTGTTGTGCCTGCATGAATATCTGTGCTCTGGCCTGGTACCTGCAGAGGCCAGAAGAGGGCATCAGATTCCCTGGAACTGGTTTTACAGACAGTTGTGAGTTCACATGCTGGCCACCCGTGTCTTCTACAAGATCATGGAGTTCTCTATGCTGAGCTCTCTCTCCAGCCCCCAACTGGTTTCTTTTCTTTTCTTCTTCTTCTTTTTTTTTTTTTTTTTTTTTTTTTTTTGAGATAAGGTTTCATCACTGACTCTGAAGTTAACCATTTAAGCTAGACTGGCTAGCCATCAAACCCCAGGATCTGCCTGTTTCCTCATCTCCATTGCTAGGGTCACAAGTATGACTTGTCATGCCCAGGTTTTACATGGAATACTGGGGACCCACACTCCGGTCCTCATGCTTGCTTGCACAGCAAGCACTTTACCCAGTGAGCTATCTCCCAACCTTTAAATTTTCCTCTTACTTTTTTCTGAACTCCTAATTTTCTTTCTACCTTAAATATGTTGCTCTAGGTTCATCTCAACCACAATGCCCTTTTTGGCTAGCCCATCTTATTCTAGGGAGGCTAGCTAGTAGTGAGATTGATTGAGGAAGCTGGGGGTAGGGTTCAGTGGTAGAGAGCTTGCCCAGAATGTGTGAGGTCCAGCATTCTTAGCACAACATTAAAAATTTAATGAAGTGATGTAGAATTTGTTTGAGATTGCAAATTGCTGCTACTCAGAAG